TGCGTGAGCAGAAGAGTAGCAGAACCAGGCACGAATAAAAATTTAAAAAATCCGCAGCGAAAAAAATAATAATAAATAAAAGCAGTTAAAGGGTTGTGTTGCTTACACGGCAGAAACTCGTGGCAAAAACGCGGGCTATAGACAATTGCAAGCATGGCGCCACAAGTGGTGCCCCATGCGTGCAAGCGCGTGCAACGCGCGGGTGAACGTAGCTTTGGCAAGCTCGTAATCGCACGGGCGTGCCTGCTCGAGCAGAGACATGGCGGCGGCCAGTCGCCCAGCTTGCAATCGTCTATACTCTGTTTCACCTAGTGTTGTACCGCAGGAATGGCTACAAGCGCGAGCTCCTTGCTCTAGGACACATCTCGACGGCACAAGCTCTCGTGCAACACAGGCAGCTGCCAACGCTATGAGCTCGCGCTTCTGGCCTTCTCTGCGGTACAACATAAGCTGAAACGGAGTATAGACGGAGAACGACTCATTATTAATCCGAGACTGGGACACAAATAATAAAACGAAGAGACGCGCGTGTGGTTGCCCTTCACTTTTATTTTCCCCTTTCCGCAAAGTCGACATAGTACAAGAAAACACGCAGAAGTAGGAGAGCAAAGAGGCTCCTCGGCGGGCTCTGCCGTCTCGCGCGGTTCTGGGGTCCGAGGCGTTCGGTTACATTGCCTCCCGTGGTTTTCGGGCGCGCGGTTCACGGGTGAGTCGGTGCAACGTACTCGACGCGTATTGAAAAGAACACGATTTATCCTGATTACGCAAAGCCCGAGAAACGAACCTTGCTTCGCAAAATCGGTACGCTCGTAGAAAAGCGAAGCAAACAAACCGCATTTTGCAGGTTGAAGAGACATGGACGAGTCGTCACAAAAACCACTCGGCATCAGCGGTTAATTTCGCGGCCGCTCGCTGCTCGAAGTAGCAAAGTGTTTCTGCCAATCCAAGACAATCCAAATTTCACGGAGTCGTTATGAGGCGATCCTAGCTCACGGTAGCATCAGCGGTTAATTTAGCGGCCGTTCGCTGCTCGAAGTAGCAAAGTGTTCCTGCCGATCCAAAACAAGACAAGCCGCCTTTCCAGCGTGTCCACCATGTGGCCACCCGGCTTTCTTGAAGTCCCCATGGCCCCCCGTCACTCAGTCTATCCACGCGTGCACTTCCCTTTCTCTCTAATATAATCGAAGGCGTCTAACAAAGCTCCGCGTCGAACGTCCTATCAGAGCGCGACGATTGCCTAGGGTTTATGCAAAGAAGTGGTCCGAGCATAATCCATGCTAATCCCTTCCCAGGGGCGGCAGTCCAGGGAAATAATCCCCTCTAATCCCTTTTGAGGGGAGGGACCCTTTTTTTTGGGTTCCACCCAGGCCAGAAACTATACAACACCCCGATTCAATATCTGACTGCCAGGAGCGCCGTAAGCGCGACAAGAAAAGACCGGGAAGGTTCGAGGGAAAGTAAACACTGAGTGCGCGTTGGTTATCGTGCTGCCAGAGAAAAGATGCGGAAAGAGTACCTGTCGCTTCCTACGCGTTCAAACACCATGGCTACTATAGTCTTCTTCGGTTTGTTCGTTTAATTTAGATATTGTTAAGACTTCTCTATTTTTAGTGAATTAAAGTGTACAAACGGATTGCGCATTATTATTATCATACCTTCGTGCACGCAACTTTCCAGTCACGAGTGCGAATAACTTTTCGTACTACAACGTGTATACGTGAACAAAAGCAGTAGATACACAGCCAGGTCGCACATAGAAACGCGGTACGGTTAAGTGGGGCAGATAATTCTTCTTCGTATTTCTTCGCAAACAAAGCTTATCCTTATCCTTCGAGTGCGGTACCCCACTTACAAAAACTCGCCGCAACCAAACTACAAAACGAGATGATGTCCAGAGAAAGCCTCGCGCTCAACATTGGTGACGCGCGAGATTCCGTTGACTAGTGGCTGCGGGCATGCCCTCTCTTCAACAACAGCCTGCTCCAACAGACAGCGCGGGGTAAATAATTCTTCACCTAGCTCATCACCAGTAACCTCGTGTGTCCCTCAAGGTAGCGTTCTTGGCTCCCTACTCTTTTTAATCTATATCAATGATCTTCATTCTTCAATTAAGTCCACCGTTCGACTAGTTGCAGATGACCGTGTTGATCGTTGCCTTTTTCAAAATGACCTTGACTCCCTAACATGCTCCTGCTTCAGCTGGCAAATGAAGACTAACCCTAGAAAATGGAAAACCCATAAGCGTTTGATCAAACTCAAATCATACGTTCGATATACGTTAACGGAGAGTTTTAATAGGCCGTTTCGATACCTCCGATAACGATACGCAAAAGCGGTGGCGGAGCGTCGGGTATCGTCATCGGAATCATCGGAACGATCTATACTAAAACTATTTAGTAACCCAGCAGCTAGAATAGGTCTCGCTGTGTAAGTTTCTCGCCGTTCGCATCTCCGAAAATGTATTATGGAACCAACATATCGATAACCTTATCGCTAGCTCACTGAACTCATTGGGATCTCTATCTTGCCCTTCTGCAACAAAATTACTGGCGTATATAAAACAATAATTCGCCCTAAAGTTCAATACCCCAGTGTCATATGGCATCCACATCAAAACAATTAAGTGCTAGATTAAAGTCTGTTCAAAATAAAGCAGTTCGCTTTAAATTAAAGGATGTTTCGGCCGAAAGCAGTATCCCCGCCCTATAATCAAATCTTGGCCTTTCTACAATTACAGGCATCAAACTAGCCGAATGTGTTTCTTTCGTGGCATTTAGAGCAGTTTTTCACACTTCAGAAATACTTATATTGGCAATCAGCTCATTACATTCCTTCTCGAACAGATAACTCGTGCAAACATAAGCAATATCGATCGCATAATAACTTCTCCATGTTATTATGCGATCTCTAATGATGAGCATCCCTCTAATGATGAGCATTACAGAATGGAACAACTTGCCTGAACAAACCGTGATGAACATAAATAGTGTACTGTTTAAGGAACTCTGATCATTTGTATTATAACTAGTGTGTATATAAATTTGTGTATTTTGTGTACTTTAATTTTTATAGTATTTATATGTCAATTTGCAAACTTCTTGTACAATGTTCACAATATATTCATTACCTTTTGCCGATGATCCCCCCTCACAGGATGCGTCCGATATGACACCTTTAAATTAATAAATAAAAAAATAATAATGGATTCACCGACCAGAAAAGGTTGGTCAAAAGTGCTTTCGATTCGTCAGGGAAAGAAGCAGTCACATATTTCCCAGTTTGAAGAATAAGCGCCCGACCAAATTATCTGTGGTCTCCTCTCCTCTGGCGCTATACATGCATATACAAGCAATTAAGGATGCCACCCCGCTCGCATTCGTTCATGCGCTAATTATGAACTTCGGTCGACGTTCGACGCGGACGAGAATGTTTGAACATTAAAGGCGACGAAATAAATTTTAAACAAAAAGCCCCCCCCCCCCCCCCCCCAAAAAAAAAAAAAAAAAAAAAAAAGTACATTTTTTTTATTATTATAAACTGTAAGTGGTGGAGGCGGAGTACCATATACTCCACAAGTCTGCATGAGAGGTACAACTGCAGGGACCTTAGGTAAGCACTCGTTGAACCCGAAGTGGCTCTGAATTCACACACCGCCTCGATACAAAGAAGGGTATGAACTCGCGCAATGCTTGTGTAGTCTATTCTTTTAGAGCGCAGCTCTTAGGCCCGCTTCAAACGGGGCAACTTTTCCTTCAATTTTGAGGTTGCTGGCGGGTTGTTCCCTAGCTTTCCCTAAATCGACGCGAATTCCGGAGATCGGGTCCGGCTCGAAACGGACGAGCAACTCGAACAACTCGGAGACGTTTGAAGCGGCAGCAGCCAATCAGGGACGCGATATTTTCACGCGACACTCCTGTGCTGGTGATGATGACAGCTAAAAACTTGGTTCTGGTTTGACATGGATCGTTTTTGGAAATCAACCTTTTCAAAAAGATGAGTTAGTATTCTCAACACACGTGACATCACCCTCGTGACGTCACACGGCGTCTAAATTTAGCGGGAATATTTCCCCGCTAAATTTAGCGAAAAAATGTCCCGCTAAATTTAGCGAAAAACAACATGTTAGGTGAAAAATTTCTCCGCTAAAGCTAGCGGGAAATTTAGCGAAAATTTCCCGCTAAATGGGAGGGGAGCGAATAGGAGAGAGGGAGCATACCCTGCCCTCCTCCTTCTCAAGAGCTGCGCTCTCATTCGTCATTACAGAGAATTGTAAACGCCTTTCATTTTTTTTTTAATTCAAACTTTCAAGTAAAGTGTCGCCAAAAAAAAAAAAAAAAAAATCTCTATGCGACGTGGTTCTCATGCCGACGGCATCACAGCGCATGGCCGCTCCGAACCCAGCATACACTAGCATAGATATTGGTCTATCCAGACGTCCACCGTAAACATAACTGGGGAGGGGAAGGGAGTATTATTTCCACGTCCGTGACGCTCTTTCCGGAAGACGCGAAAAGTATCACTTTCATTAATATGACGTCAATATAACTGTTTTCTCAATCCGAGATGATTTCCTATCTTTCTGTTTTTGACGCAACAGCCGCGAACCCGGAAAGACCAAGCATCGAGGGCTGGCTGCATCGAGTTCTAAGAAAAAGGGGAAGGGAGTTTTCCGAACCAGAAAGTTGACCCTGACCCTGACGCTGACCTGAACCCCCCTCTCTTCCCTTTTTTTTTTTTCCCCGCGTGACGCAACGACGCAGTCGACTCCGCGCACGAACGCGATCACTATTGCATCCTCCACATCGCGAAGAGGCCGGAACAGCAATAACTGGCTGGTCTCTTCAAGTAATCTTTTTTCTTTTTTTTTTCTTTTTTTTTCACTATTGCTATGTCTCCACAATCGCAAGACGGCGCGCCGCAGCCAGCTGCATATCTAGAATAAACGACAGATATATGCGACTCACAATCATATCTCACGGCAAAATGCCCCACCGGGAAACTTATCTCGTGGGACAGGGCACCGTCTCGATACCGTATTGAGGGACGTTTTTTCCTTCTCTTTGGCAATTAAAACAAAAGAATTGAACCCGGATCTGAGGCATGAAGGTATTTAGAAACACAACTGCAAAACAAACGTGAAGCTGAGTTTAAACTTGGACTGAGCGCGTTGGTAATAAATTAAAAAATGTACGAAAGCGTCAGACGAAGAGGACGGACAGGACAAACATCTTTCGTAAGGTGTTTGTTCTGTCCGTTCTGTTCGTATGACTCTTTCGTATATTTTTGAAGCCGAGTTTCTTTCGGTGCTGCCATCTAAAACTCCGTGCAGTGGCGTAGCAGCTAATTGTTTTCGGCGGGGTGGGTGGGGTCTGGAGGGAGGCAAAATGCACGTCGGCCCGAACCAGCGCAGAATGAAGAGGCCGTATTCTTCCAGCAAAATGTGCTTTTGGGCGTCGCTATACTCCTAAAAGACGGGGCCACATTAACGAGAACTTTAATTTATTTACTCATTTCTTTGCGTTTGCCGTCATCTACTACATGGATCCAGGGAAGGTACGTGGTATTAGAACAAGCTTCGAGACTAAAGGCGCGCTGGCAATCGGTATATTTACCGAAGTTCTCAAGATGTGGAACTCGACCCGGCAAGTTTGCGTGCGAGTCTCGAAGAACCGCGGGAAATTTGTCGGGATTTTCAGTCAGGCCATATAAAATACACAAAAACACCGTAAAAAAAAAAAAAAAAAAAAAAAAAAAAAAAAAAAAAAAATATATATATATATATATATATATATAGTGAGTTTGTAAAAAGCGTGTTGGACTATAAACCGTGGAAGGCTCACCCTGCACTTGAATTGAATATTGCATACGCGTGGGCAAGACGACGAACGTCGTCTTGTACTCGCAACTCTGAAGACGCGCCACGCCGCGATCATTGGACCCGACTCGGAGCTCGAACGTCCGAATGCCGCGTCGAATTCCACGACGCGGGATTCGTGTCCAACAATCGCTCGGTTACGGTAGTTCGGTGGTACCGCCCAAAGTTGCCATTTTCGGCCACCAGCCGCGCTGACTAGCAGCCAACTGAGATCACCGAGCACGGGTCATCGGATTGGTGGCAGAAGTCGAGGGAAGATTAGAGTTTCGTTCCATTATTTTCGTTTCTACAGGGTGAAGAGGCACCACTTTCACGCGGATTGTATAACTTCCGACTGAGGAGAATTGTAAATGAATGCTCGTGTTAGTAGCGAAGCGATGTGAGATTCTTTACCACGCTCCATTAATTCCGAATTCAGAAGTATACCGTTAAAAAGGCCCAACCTTACCGGTTTTCTTATTTTTGTTTTCTCTATTCGGAAAGTAGTTAATCGTCGAAATAAAAGCTTCGGCTAGGTGACGCGAGTCGCCGCCTAATTAAAAGGGTTCGTGCCACATTCGCGCATCCATCACCCATCCTAGGCGCCTCCTGTCCACTGCCCCGAGGCTAAATGCGAACTGCTTCAGCTCACCCCTGCACTGCCTGTTGAGAAGCACGCCCATGCCGCTCTTTTCGTTCTTCATCTGGATCAGGAGCTTGGTGCTCTCGGAGACCGAATCCGGATCGTGCACCACGCCGTTGGACGACGACTCCATGACAAAGAGCAGCTTCTTAACCACGTCCTTGCCCACCACATTGTCGAAGACCGCCTTCAGGAAGGCGTCGCCGCTGATGGTCAGCTTCAGCTTGTCCCTGTTCCACACCACCACTCGGCACTTCTCTAAGGCTGTGGTGGTCACCTGAAGCAAACCGGCCATACACACACACACACTTTATGGGTCACTGTCTCGCAAAATCAAATCAACATCTTAAAAAAAAAAAATTGACGCTATTGTTTTATGCCGTTTTTACAACGACCAGAATGGATATGAAGACCGACCTGGTAGTAGTCGGTGCTGCAGACACCGAACCACTCGGGAGAGTCCAAGAACTCGTGCTTGTCGACTATTTGAAGCCCTCGGCCATTTTGAGATGCAAGAAGCCTGCAAACATGGATGGAGGTGATTTAGAGTGTGGCTGCCACAAGGCCTTGATCGCTGTTCCGCGCACATATAGGGAAACATCTGAGCTTTTTTCATGACGTGGAGAGCATTCATAGACGCGATCGGTGCGTATAGTTGCGCTCGATTCCGAAAGGGTACATTTATCCTTGGGTTTGGCTGTTTTTTCGTCGTGATATTGCCGCTTGCTCAGCCAATAAAAAACACGATTGTCTGTCCGTTATGCCGATATGGACGCGAAGGAAGTGCACGTGAATCTTCGCATAATTGTGCAACAAGTACAAAGTGTGTACCGAGTTCCTTAACATGCACCCTCAAGCCTTTCTAAAGCTCTCCTCCAGATGCGAAGAAAAGAAAAAGCGACATCACACATGCGTGGCATAGTCGGCAACGCAGGCTTCTGTCGCGCAGAGGGACATGGTTCGAAACCCGCTCAGTTCTCTTTTATCCATCTTTTTACTCTTCTCGTTATTTCCAGCCCATTCTCGGCTGTTATCATGTGTTCTGGATCAGGACATTCCTGAGCTGCTTCGGGACAGTCGCCCCTTTCGTCCTTGTCGTAAGGTGTAGGGTATCTTTTCCTTTCTCATGCTTTTAGTTACAGGCACAAGTTCGCCTTATTAAACACTTATTTTCGCTTCTGCATTCATCTACTTTCCTTTCTTTTTAATTAGCGACAATGTGCAGTACTAATTAGAACAAATACACGCACTGCTGCCAAAAAAAATTATTAGTTTTTTTTTTGTTTTTATTGTTATACTGTAACGTCAGTTGCTATTTATTGTTGCTTGCTTGTTATTATTACTGTAACGTCAGTTGCTCGGTCAACCCAACTGAAAAGCCCACGAAGCGATATGGGGGGGGGGGGGGGGGGGGGGGCTAGAGCGCACGTGTCTGCTTGGGCTCGCACACGTCCGCACCTTCACCAACAGGTTTCATCTCTTTCCGGTAGCCCGTGAACGGGAACAGAAATGCACGAAGATTCAAAACGTCGTTGCGCCGCGTAGCAAGGTCAGGCCGGCCCATTCAATTCCCCGCGTCGAGTCAAAGTAGGGCGTACGTCGCGACTCCACACAGTCGCTCCGCTTTTACGCTCGGCCTGCTTGGAAAGCGACGCCAGACGCCCGCCAGCCATCGCACGGTAGCGCACACTGAAGTAAAGACAGCCGGATTAACAACGAGGAAGAGCACGAGCGAGACCGACTGCCCTTATGTGGTCTCCTGCCCAGACGAAATAGCCCAATGTAAAGTGCAAGGTGTTCGGACCGGTCCTCCGTGCTTACTTTTTACACCAGAAATATACAACCTTCAGAGCATCACCGTCATTGCCCTGGTTTATTTTCACGCTCATGTACTTCTTTTCGCGCTGGCCCGTGTCCTTGGACAAGCTGCCCTTCTCGACGTGCGGTGCAATGTACTACTAATCACGACCATCCTCGTTAATGATACTTGTCACGTCCCGACGTCCCCGTCATCAGACACACGGGCAACACGGGTACAGAAACCGAACGGCTTTGTAGCCGGGAGCAAAGATGTTCCGCCGCCAAACAGAACAGCTGCTCTTGCTTGAAAGCCAAAAGGCTTTCAGACACTTCGAAAAAGGGACAACAGACAAAATAATGACGAGCACGCGGGCAAGTTGGCGAATGTGAACGAGCTCATATAATGATGCTGTCACCGTCATTCGGGTAGTGGTACCAGTTCTAGGGGTGCGAACCAATCTATCCAGCTGGTGGGTACTCAGGGTCATGTATATGTAACCCACCCACTCTGTGAGATAGATCTCCATCGAGAGTTTGGGAGAGTGATGTCACGCTTCCACAGGGAAGTCGATGGGTCAAATCTCGTCCTTATGTTCCAATTACAGTCATCCTGAATGAATCTGGAGGGTGTGAGTGGCTGTACCACGTACTGCAATGCGGCGGTTCTGCAGGCGAGAAAGCCACGAGGGGCCCTGGAAGTGGGCTCACCTGCCGGCCAGCACGAGCGTGAGGCGGTCCGCGCGGCTCACGCCCTCGAGCGAGTAGTTCTCGCGGGGCTTGAGGTCCAGCGTCTCCTTGACGCAGCCCGCGACGCTCTGGAACTGCTGCCGCGACACCTTGAGGGGCTGGAACATGTCCCTGTACAGAGTCTCCATCTGGGCCGAGAAGCGGACGGGCCGTAGGATGTACATGAGCACGCACACGTGCACCAGGTTGAGCAGCGTGAAGAAGGCGTTCCACACGAGCGTGTCGAAGGCGCACAGGATGACGTAGCCCCATAGGGCGAAGAAGAAGCTACCCAGCGTGAGGCAGATGCGCAGGTACAGCAGCCCGTGGATGCCTCCGGGGGCCATGTACGACAGGAAGAGGAAGATGTTGGACAGCTGGAACAGGAGGTGGTTGGTGGGCAGCCAGCTCGGGCAGATCGGGCCGCTGGCCAGGTACGCGACGTCGGTCTCGTTCGTCGCCGCCGCCGCAACCGGGCCGCTGCCGTTGCTACTGTCCGTGAAAATCGAGAGCATGGTAGTCGTCGCCATGGTCTCGCGACGTCCGCCCTTCCCGTCGAGGAAGATCGGCACAACAACGACGACGACGACGACGGAGCGCGGGGCAACCAGCACCCCGCGACGAAGTTGGACGTCCGAGTCAGATCAGCGGAGTACTCCGATGCGGCGGCGACGGCGGCGTCGTGGCTGCTGACCGTCGCCTCTGGTGGTCTGAGCAACGCAGTAACATGACGCCAGCGTGCCTCGTTCCGTATCTTTCTCGGGTGAGAGATAGGCACGGGCAGGAGAGGTTACGGCACGTAAGGACAATCTTGAGTAGACCACGCCGAGCAGCTGCGACAGCGATTCCAACGTCGCGTCCCGCAGATGCGCTGCTTTCTTTCGCTCTTCCTTCCTCCTCGCCGTAGAGTTGGTAGAGTCGTCGTAGAGTTGGCTCTGAGTGTTGGTAGCGTCGGTAGATTACAGTGGTCGTAAGGTGGCGCCACCATTCAAGGTTGATAGATTAGGCGGTGCAAATTGTGGTGCGTGGAGCGCATCTCCAACTGGTGTGTCTAGCGTTTTACCCGCTCATACATCAAAGGTGGTCCTGAAGTGGCAAGAAATAACGTTACCGAAGCCGGAGTGCCATGCTACGGAGGCTATGCCATGCTGTTGCCTGTCGCGATCTTGGCGGTTGGTGGTAGAAATGCTGGCGAAAAGCACGACCGAACGCTAGTGTCGCTGTCGTCATGGCGTCCCAACTTCTGGCTGTTTTTAGTTTCCGTGGACTTTCAGTGGAGAGCGACCTGCGGCAGAACAGGCGTCTGCTAAATTCACCACAGCTTCTGGAACACCGCCAGGATCGCGACCGACGACAGCCTGACACTTTTATGACGTCATCAGGCGGCGATCGAGGGACCACTTTTTTGACGTGGTAAGCACACCAGTCGGAGACGCGTTCCAGGGGTTCCAGCCACCATAGTTTTTACACAAAGCTGATATGAACTAGTCATGGAACTAATTGAAAAAAAGCCAAGGTAACTAGGGGGCATTCGACTTTTAAAAAGAGATATTCATCGTCCCCAAAACGTATTCCAGAAGGCTCCTTTTGCTCCATTTTAAATTATAATGTCGTACAACTGGGACGCTTGGATGGCTTTGGGAAAACATTTACGAATCAAAACAACTACCGCAACTACCGAAATAGTTTTGACGTCACAACGACAAATGTCGTACCCTTTTTCTTTTTTTTCCCCAGAAAAATTTGCGCATTTGTGAAATCAATATGGCTCTCAGAGGAAAACCACAAATGTTTCTTATAATATAAATTTGAAGTGAACACTTCAGTAATTCCACTGTTCTGCGTATTTTATTCGATTACAGCTGGATTTAAAAGATTAGCATGAATGATCAGCCAATGGGAACTCCCGATTTAACCATTTAACGTTCCCGACGGCAGCGCTGCCCACGGTCATCAGCCAATCACAACCACCAAGAATTCTGGCCTTGTAAACGACCGTTCGTTCAAATCCTTGTGCTTTTGCGTTGTCCGAGTTCGTTGTGCGTGTTGACGTCTTTGTCCGTTTTTATTAGCCGTTGTGCCGTCCTCGTGATTTTAACTTTTTATCTCTTCGTGTGCACGGGTCACTCACCGAAGCACAGCACGCAAAAGTAAGTCCTCGGCGAAGCGCGCTTGGGAGCGATATTTTGACCGGACACTCTAGGCCTAAAACTTTTAGAAAACGTGCTCCGTGTTCGCCGTTTCTTTTTCTTTCTCAGTTCGAATTTTGTCGGCTTAACTCCGCATTCCCACTACGACGGATAGTTCAAGCTCCTTCCAGAGCGCTCATTCCGTCCGAGCTTGTTCCCGTTGTAGCTAGACCCGTCGCCTTGTAAAGCTGTCGTACTGACGGTGGCCACTGCTGTTGTCGCGGAATATCAAATTAATCTTACCTTGTCCACCAAGTCTGCTGTATTATTTGCTCATTTCGAATATAGAACCACGCTGTGCGCGTCTGTTTATCGAGCAAAGAAATCGGGGTGGTGTCATTCTTGCCAACTGCGCAGTTGGAAAAAGCTCGTCTCCCCGGCGCCCTGGGCCGTCTCGCAGTTCGTCGTTGCTAGTCTCCTTTCAAGTTTTCGGACTTCCGAACGCGTCCACATATAACCTACCGCTCTTTTATCGCCGGCTCTTTTACAGAACACCACGTCACTGTTCCGGGTTCACATCGTCCAAAATCTTTGCGTTCCGTTCGTTGCTACGTTGCTAGCCTTTATTTGTTGAACCGTGACAGTGTTCGTAACAGTTAGCCCGCATTTCGCAACATGCCTAAATGTCCAAAGCACCGGCTTTTCTTTTTTTTTTTTTTTTTTTTAAGTTCAGTGTTCGTGTTTTTTCAACGGAGCTGTTGAGGGCTAGTTTTCCCGGCATCGTGTCCGTGGGCAGGCGGCAACCAGACAACAGGCTTCCCGGGTGACTGGTTGCCGCCGTCGCTCCTAGATGGCGGCAACCTTTCCAGCCTTTCCACTCTGGCTTGCCGACTTGCGGCCGGCCTTTACTTCATTCCCACCATAGTACATTGTACTGTGGTCAGTGTTGCCAACTCAAAAATTGAAAACCCGCAGTCGGAATCCCGAAAACCGCTAAATACAAAACACAGCGCAAAACGACTTTTTCAACTTTTTTCTTTTTGCTTTAATTCTTGACAAAGGTATAATAACAGTATAGATAGTATCAATGCCATCTGAAACAAAGCTTTCCTTTTGTTTTGACTAGAAGCCTGTTACGCCATGCCACAGTTCACCCAGGTGATCTGAAGCCAAAATTGCAGAGTGAGCGCATACGAACATTGCAAGGTTCGTATGCGCTCAACTTCAACTTCAACTTGTTGAGTCGTCTGTTACCAGAGGAGAAAGGTGCAGCGGCCGAAACATGCTTCTTCGTTGCAGCGTGTGCGACCAAATCCACATTTTTCGCAGATAGTTCCGTTTTGAAATAGCGGCACCTGGCTCGTCTGCTATTTAGAGGAACCTCCAGTAGCCAGTCTTTAAGCTTGGGGTCTTATAGCCAGTCTTTTCCAAACTTTTGAGCGTACTTCACTGCACGTTTTTCACAAAACAGTGACAAAAACGTCATAGAAAAATTGGAACATTCGTGCTGTTCAAACGTGCACGCACAAAACGAAGAGGCATGTTCCGATATTCAACGTCTTAATGTTTTGATGACGTCACAGGCGTTACTCTCACAAACCAGAACATCACTAAGAGTCAGCGAAGACGAGTCTCTTTAGTGTTGGACTCTTATTATCCTTATTATTATGGATATGAAAGGTGCATAACAGTAAATCGATATAAAACATCTATATCTCTGAAAAACCGCCAAGATGACATAAAATCGGCTAAAAATCCCGCCGCCCGCAAAACAGTAATTTATCCCGCTAAACAGAACCAAAACCCGCTAAATTTAGCGGGAAAACCGCTAAATTGGCAACACTGACTGTGGTGTACAGTGTGACAGCGAAGCTGTACTACAGCTTCGCTGGTCGTCTTCATCACCAGAGTGGAAAGGCTAAACGTTTTTCAGTAGTAAGCAGTAATAAAAAAGTGTTAATTTTTTTAACAGAATGTGCCCCTGTAATACTCTCATTTACACCTTTCTTTGTTGCAGCAGACCGAAAATGCCGACACAGAACCGTATCAGTAACTTCAAGAATAAGGGCAAAGACCAACAGGTGAGAAAGGGCTTTTGAGCTGCAGCGTGCAACGGGGGCTGCAGGTCGTTGAATGCGGTGCTTTTGTGTGTGGCAGGAGATGAGGCGACGGAGGAACGAGGTGAATGTGGAGCTTCGGAAGCAGCGGAAGGACGACCAGATCCTCAAGCGCAGGAATGTCAGCTTCAGCGAAGACCCCGTCAGCCCACTCGCAGAACAGAACAAGGTGAGCCCCCATTTGAGGAGGGCTGTGCAATCGACCCTGTTGCTGCTGTCAAAGATCTCGGCACACTGCTCTACACACATTAGTTGAAAAAGCAGGTCCTGGAAGCCTCGGAGAAGTAGCAGACATTTTGCTGGGAGACTTGGCTTCTTTAGTTAGATTGTTACTGAGGCCTGGGACAACAATCCTTATAACTTGCTATTTACCCTTTGTGCGATGCCTCAGAGCTTTTTATACATTGGTGCTCTTGCTGGCAATGTTTGTGCTCCTCCATTAGTTTTATCGACACAGACCCAGATATGGAGGACGTATACCTAGGAGGGGTCGTTGAAATGCTCCTCAAGCATGCTTGTAAACTTTCTTTTTACACCCAAACATCAACCACATGAAATTTGTGCAGTTTTGCTGCCCATTCCCCTCATTAGCCAGCTGTTAAAACATGAGGCCCTGTTTGAGCCTCCCATGTTGCAGGTTGGGAATTGGCAGGAAACCAGCACCTCTGCAGGTTCGGTTGAGACCTTGTTGCGTATTCAAATGGGTGTCACTGCTTCTAACCAAGCTGTGCGATTTGCTTGTGTGACAGGGTATAGGGTTTCATCCCACTGATGGTCAAGCTTTTTTTTCCCCAAACGATTTTTGCCAGTGGTTACATTTTCTTTCCGAAGAATCAATGTGCAGGTTTTTTCCTAATTATCTAATGGGAGCACATAAAGTGCTTGCAAGCCGTTTAGGTTTAGAGGCATCAAATAAAAATAATGAAGGCGAACAATTGTCACCTCTGACATTCGCTTTCATTTTGGGGCGTCCGCTTCCGTAACATTCCAGCGGTTTCGGTTTCCTAGCTCAAGGTACTTTACAGGGCATCTCCATTGGATGATGGGCTCTTATTCTCGGAATGCAATTTGGAAATGCGTTGAAAGTCTGAATTGGGAAGTGCCAGTATGGCACTACCGCCAGAGTGGTAGTGCCGCACGAAGTGAGCCTCATGTGCGCAGAGCGTCTAATGTGAGAACTGTAAATAGCCCAGCAAAGCTAAACACCGTACGAATATGTTTATAACTCGCCAAAAGACGTAACAAATAGCAACACCTCCTGCAGTGCGCACAGTTTCGCATTTAGGCGGTCGCTTTCAAATGTGTTATCTCCATCGTACATGTACGGCGACTACCGTCAAAGGGTTAATGGTGAACAGCGAGGATTTACGTTTGTGGTTAGTGTGCTCTGTAAAGAAACTGTTCACACCTTTTCGACCTCTCTCTCACACGACTATTCTAGTTTTTTTCGTTTATAGTTGTACCTTCTATAACGGTTCACACAAAAAAATATGGCATCTGATCTAGGAAGCTGAAATAGCTCCCGGAAACATATTTGGTAGGGAATTGCACGGATGTTCTTGATCCCGGGCCAAGAACAATGACAGTTGCATGTTGCAAGCTCAAATTTAAAGAAAGGTGTATTTTTTTTATATTTTGTACTATGAAATTCCAAGGTCTAGCTCTGTTTCTGCGAAAAATGGATCGTAGAAAATGATGGTCACCGATACGGATGTAAGAGCAGGGGCGAAAGTCTTAAAACGACTGTGATCGATTGGATTAGAAATATTCATGTCGTTTCACTTCCTTCTAAATAAAATTGCACGCATAAAAGCTAACGTCAAAATTTAAGAAAAAAGAAAACAAACTTCTGTGGTTTTTTTTTGCTTAAAGGGGCGGTGGAACAATTTGCGGACTTTGGCTAATTAATTGCGGGAATTGATCCCGGCCACATATAAAACGAAGGACCGAAAATTATTCTTCCCTGCTTGCCTTAGTTTTCATTAAAAAAAAAAAAAAAAAGAAATCTGTATCTCTGGCACCCCTCAACTCAACATTGAAGCGGCACCAGCTTCGCCTGTGACGTCGTTCGGAGTGGCGTTGGTTTCCGGTTGGGTGCTTCTGGCTTCCGTTTCCCCAGCGCTCGCCGGCTTGCCAGGCCTCGCCGCTCTCCCGTCGATTCCCGACCAACATGGCGGTATGGGCGGACGGCCTGAGCGACGTCGGGCGCAAGATGCTTGCGTACAGTAAGTCAGTTGGACTTGTGTGACGGGCAGTCGAAGTCGAGGTCGAGACACCAGGAACAATAACGATACTACGGACTGCGACCAACACACTCCGTCGAGCGAGAGAAAGACAAAACGTCCGGGTTGCTCGTGTAGCCGCCGTAGGCGCCTCGGGCGTCGACGGATGTCGGCGACTGCAGGTTTAATTGACTTGCGGTAGATGGCGCCACAAATCTTTTAGCGGCAATATTAGGCTTTTGAAGCGTTTCTGCATGCCTAAACAACAAGATTTTTTGAACTTAACCTTAAATGAAGCTTACAATTGCCTAACACTATCACTTACAAAAACCACTCCGAATGACGTCATACCACAGGTTCCATTTGCGGCCACCATGTGGCCGCAGGTTGGGAAAGTGTTTTTTATTTTGCGATTCCGCAGCGAAATAGAGGTATTTTGGGGTATGGTGGCACTTTTTCTCTTACTTATGCCGAAGTAAACAATATAAAAAATATAAGCTGCACATTCTTTTAGTGTTGAAATCATTGCACCGCCCCTTTAAGTATAATAATCTGGAAAAAAAAGTCCCATGCATTGTGGCCGCTCCGGAACGGCGGGGCGTAGATGCTTTAGTGTACGCAAAGAAGCGGGAAAACATTGCTTGCAAGGTCTGTTCCCATTTTTTTAGTGTTATTTTGTACTTACTTGGTGGAAAGCACTGACATTGCACATTGTATACAAAATAAATGAAGTTAACATGTGCTCAAGCGAATTTATGTTGTCACGGCAAAACAAACACCCCTAACCTATTGTCTGCTTTCTTTTTCTGCCCTTCTCTCTCTCTTTCCCCCTTTTTTTTACTACTAATGTTGGTGTTTGGGATTTGCAGCATCGTGTTCTCGTCTTTACCTCCTCGTTTTCAGTGACCTATAGGACCACCTCTAGGCCTTCTCAGCTTGGCCATTAAATGGTTTACTGTGACTGGCGACATTTGCGTCTGATGTTTCTACCCTTTTACGGTTTCGGCTATCTTGACCAGTAAAGTACAGCTGGAGCAAGTAAAAGAGCCAAAAGCTCATGCGCAGTGGCGCATGTGCCCCGCGTTTGTCACATTTTGTGGCAGCCCTTAATCGAGCATTTGCCCGGTTCTGTGCAGCAGGGGGCGGTGATGTCCCTGGAGGAGATTGTGCGTGGGCTGACGAGCGGGCAGCCAGAGTGCCAGCTGGAGGCGACTCAGTCCGCCCGCAAGATCCTGTCCCGGGAACGCCACCCGCCCATCGACGCCATGATCCAGGCCGGCGTGGTGCCGGTTCTGGTGCATTCCCTCGAACGCGACGACTGGTTGGTGCCACTTCCTGCACCGCTCGGAGGGGTGCCAGCGATTAGCCGCTAAAACTTGGCTGCCATTCACGCGCGGAAGTTGCCGTGGCAACGTCGGTTTTGGAGCACCACCTTTGGGAGACTAGCTGGGTAATGGCGAGATCCACTAGGTGACCCATGATTCGGGCAGCGTCACTTAGGTCATACCGTTGTAAAGGAGCGGCGTTGCCAGCCGCCTCCAGCTGCTCCGGATGTGTCTAACGGGAGAATACGGGAAGTGCTCTCTGTCATCATGCTCCTAAATGGTCTGCGAGGGGCCAATTTGCCGTTTTAGAAATACCTGGTGCCACCATGCAGACAACGGGATTCGAGGATTTTGAGTATGAAACAATGCATGGATTCCTAAGAAGGAGAAAAAAGCAGCGACTTGTAACGAACTTGAGAGCAGAAAGATAAGCCACAATAGGAATGAGAGACACTCAGTGGGAGCCCAGCCTGGGTCACTGCAGCTCAATAGAGCCAACGGCATCTTGCTTCCTCGGTCGAGGGAGTGCCCCCGTTGGCACATACTGTACTTGGCATAAGCCAGAACCTAGTGAACTGGCGATTTTGTAAAATTGTCCTTTTAGTGTCTTAAGGGACACTGACAGGGTATTTATGCTCGCCAGGGTTTTTATATGTACATGACATGAGAGCTCAACTACCCAGAACACAATTTTCCACTCGAAATTTGTTTTCTTTCCACCTGAAATCTGCTGATTGAGAACTGGCCAGTTTCAGTCGCGCTCACTGTTCTTCTCTGTGGTCACGTGCCGTTTCTTGTGGTTTCGACACAACCATCAAATATGATCAGAGTTGTAGGTCATTGAAGGCACACATTTATAATTTGCATTTTTTTTTACTTTATTCAGAATATATGCAACAGTGTAGGAAAATATTGATTGGGTAGTCTTCTGACAGCATAAGAAATTTCCTCCTGGCAAGATATAAAACAATTTTGGGGTGGTGTCTGTCCCTTTAACACCGTATAGAAAGGATAGTAAATGTTGTTGACGTCGGTTCTTGTCATGCTCTGGCATTCTGTGTAGCCGGTTGAACTATATAGTTATGCAATTCGGAAATAACTTTAGGTTTAGCTAATAATTCTATCTACACTGGAGAGCATTTTCCCCACTTGCCACACCGCTCATACGATCAATGGCGCCGCCGCCGTGCTCCTCCCAGAGTGCCGCTTTCCGTTCGTCCCTTCGTCGCCCTTTGAGCGTGGTCGCACGTCCTCTTTGAACCGCGCTGATGCGGTTGTTTCTCCCTCTCCCCCAGCCCCTCGCTGCAGTTTGAGGCTGCCTGGGCCCTGACCAACATAGCCTCCGGCACGGCCGAGCAGACGGACACGGTGGTGAAGGCCGGAGCTGTGCCCTCCTTCATCCGGCTCCTCCAGTCGCCCCACTCCAACGTGTGCGAACAGGCCGTGTGGGCGCTGGGCAACATTGCAGGTGGGGTAACCCCCAGGGTTTCTAGATTTCCTACCGGCGCCGCTTCGGCCCGGTGACTGTCAACGGCGCGAATGACAGCGATTCCAGTGCTAGCCATTGCGAACCTATTTGACACTAAGAGAAAGTGGCGGCGGCGTGACGACGGGGTAGAGTTGCGTTCTGGCTGCGGTGGTTTTTCCCCCATAATTAGATTGTCTGTCAAACTGCCATCCATACACCGAACCTACCGTGCCAATTTCGTATGGACCCACGAGGGGAGCCCCCCCCCTTGCCATGCGGCCACAGACGATGGATGTGTGCGTTGCGGGTGTGAACGCAGTGGATGTTGAGCTGGTGGCTTTGCGCAGGCGATGGACCTTCCCTGCGTGACATGGTGCTGAGCCTGGGAATCCTCAAGCCCCTCCTTGGTCTCATCAAGGCCGACGCTCCCGTGAGTCATCTGACGGGATCTCTGGAGCGACGAGCGTAGTACCACATTTATTTTTTATTTATTTATGACATACTGCGGACCTAAATGGTCCAAGCAGGAGTGAATACAGATCGTAAAATACACGACAAAAAACAGTCTTCAACAAAAGATATCAAAAAAGGCCACTAGGTTAAAATATACAGTAAATAACAAATGCAAAAATACAGGACAAGAAGCCTCCAAGAGCAAGATACACATTCCCAGTAAAAAAACCTATACGGTCATGAGGTAGGAAGAAGGAAGTGACTCAATGGGCAGGGAATTCCAGTCATTGATTGTTCTTGGAAAAAAGGAAAATTTGAAAAGATTGGTGCGAGCAAAGTACGGAGTCAGTGAATGTGGTTGGTGATGTCTGGTCTGTCTCGTAGCAATGGGTTTTAGATATGCGTGGCGATTAATAGATAGCTTATCATTTGCAAGAAGAAACAGAAACTTTAGCCTTGCTATTTGCCTTCGCTCCTGCAACAATTCAATTTTGTTTATCTGCATTAGAGAGGAGGGAGAATCTGATCGCTTGAACTTATCGTAAATGAATCTGACTGCCCGTCTTTGAACCCTTTCCAATTTATTTATGTCTTTTTTGGTAAAGGGATCCCATACAACGCTGGCGTATTCCAGTTTAGGTCTCACAAGCGTGTTGAACGCTAACAATTTTACGTTAGGGGGTGTATTTTTCAACTTGTGTCTAATGAGGACTAGCTTTCTAAAAGCAGCACATGTAATGTTGTCGATGTGTCTTGACCAGCCCAAATGACTATCAATTGTCAGCCCTAGATACTTGTAATGGTCTACCTCAGAGACGTTATAATCTTTTATTTTGTACTGAAAGGAGAGGTACTTCTTTTTGTTTGTGATTCTAAGAAAGACAGTTTTCTCGAGATTCAATTTCATTTTCCATTGGTAGCACCAGTCTTGTATAGAGTTTAAGCTTGAGTTAAGTGCGAGTTGGTCATTAGTACACAAAACATCTTTGAACAATACACAATCGTCCGCAAATAAACGAATGTTCACTCCTGGGTCCACAACAGAAACAATATCATTGACGTATATCAAGAGCAATAGTGGCCCAAGGACACTTCCCTGGGGTACACCGGAAGTCACATCAAGCATCTCTGAGCAACCAGAACCAACCTCGACATACTGTCTACGACCATGTAGATAGGATCCGATCCATTTAACGATGGCTGAGTCAAGACCAATACTTTCCAATTTAAAAAGCAGTTTACCATGTGGCACTCTGTCAAATGCCTTGCTGAAGTCTATGAATACGGCATCTATCTGACCAGATTTATCCAAAGTGGAGGCAAATTCGTGCACCGTGGTGACTAGCTGTGTCACTGTTGAATAGCCCTTTCGAAATCCATGTTGAAACTCGGTTATTAAGTTATTTTTATCAATGAAGTCAGTTACCATATTTGAAATTATATGTTCTAGTAACTTACACGATGTACACGTAAGCGAGATTGGCCTGTAGTTGCTCAGAGATAAGTGGTCTCCTTTTTTAAACACCGGCACAACACGTGCTAAGAGCCAATCATTCGGCAGAACTCCCGACAAAAATGACGTGCGGAATATCACTGTTAAGAAGTGTGCTAAGGGTTCCGCGAAACGACGCAGAAAGGCATTGGGTATCTTATCAGGCCCAGGTGACTTTTTCGTTTTCAAGTTCAATAACATGGAAAATACGCCTGCAAGCGATATGCGATCAGCATTCACGTAGGACCGCTCATGATTTTCACACTCGTACGTTTCAGCGTCAGAAAAAACTGACTGGAAGTATCCATTAAAATGACGAGCGATCACTATGGTGTCATCAATCACTGTACTGTCAACACATATTTGGTCGATGGGTTTTCTTTTGTTGCTTAGGTAGCTCCAAAACTTCTGAGGGTCGTTTTTAATAAAATTAGGCAGAGTATTAGAAAAATAATAATCACGTCCTGCATGTCCTGAAGGCGACCGTTGTTTCTACGTTTAGTTTTTTTAAGGCGTTTAATCCTTCGCTTTAAGTGAATTATTTTCCGATTCACCCAGGGGTGAGCCCTATTAACACGCTTTTTCTTACTGGGGACAAAGTTATCCAAACAGTAGTTGCAAATAACCTTAAATTTGTTCCATAAAACTTGCACGTCTGAGTCGTTAAAACTATCAAGTGCCAAATCCAGATAGTCCAGAATACACTCATCATTGGACTTCGAGAAGTCTTTAATTTTCTTAACTACACTTTTCCGTTCAGGTGACTCTTTCGCTAAAGTACAACAGAAATAAACAAGTTTATGATCCGAGATCCCCCTCTCGACACTGACCGTATAATCAGATAAGCATCTACTAACAAAAACGAGATCAAGGATAGAGCAGCTCGAGCCCTGCTCTCGCGTGTTTTCGGTTACAACCTGCTGTAGATCATAGGCAAACATAGTGTCAAGAACAATCTCACTGTCCTGACATGAGTTAGCGGACAAATTGGCCCAATCAAAACCCGGAAGGTTGAAGTCCCCAACAACTGCAAGTTTATTGTTCCTGTATGAGGATATGTGGTTGTACAGTTGGTTTAGGAAGTCTGGTTGAGAATTGGGAGGTCTATAAACAGCGTACAAGATAATTGTGTTACCCCAGCAATTCAGCTTTAAACATAAGCTTTCATGCTCTTCAATCTGATCTAGAAGCACGGCATGAATATGATCTTTCAGTATTACAGCAACCCCCCCACCACGCGATGGGCGGTCTCTGCGGAATATGCTGTAGGATGGTGGAATGATACTATCATTATTAATGTCCTCGTGCAACCATGTTTCCGTTATTACCGTAATATGGGGATCATAATTCAATAAGAGAAGTTCCAGTTGGTTAACCTTGTTCACAATGCTCCGTGCATTTATGTTTAAAATGCGGAGTTGCTTTGATTCTGGAGTACATGGGCGTCATTCATTCGAACGTGGTTGTAATTGTGGCAGCTGAACGCGGGAGTTTGCGACGTCATCCCAGATATACCAGTCATCATTTATACGAAGCTTGTCATGTACCAAAAACACTTTTTTCCCTTGGTCCTTATCGGTCTTAGCGCTCAACCAAAGTGCCCAACGTTTTGCTAACGTGCTTGGTGAATAGTCGTTGCAAATGGATATCCGTGTATTTTTTAATTTTTTGGCATTGCGAAGTATTGCTTGTTTTTCGTTATAGTCCTGAAAGAACAAGATGACAGGCCTTTTGTCACTAGGTTTACCGAGCCTGTGAATCCTTGAAATGGAAGTGCAAGTTACACCTAGTATGCCATTCAGGACCTCTGTGATCACTTTACTCTTCAGCTGTGCTTCCGTTTCATCTTCTGTTTCTGCTATCCCGTAAACGACTAGATTTGATCGACGGCTCCGATCCTCGAGATCTGTAATTTTCTGAGTTTGAAAAAGAACAGTCCTTTCAAGATTTACGAGGCTACTTTCCAGCGCCTGAACTCGTTCCGTTTTCTGCCTGAGCTCGTGAAGAATTTGGTCAAATTCAACAAACCTGGCGTTAATTCCGCTTATCATGACTTCAGTTTTACTTTGTTGTGTTTTTAACTCTGTAATTTCTTTGTGGATTGCACTCTGTCCGTTCATTATTTGTTGAAACATCTCCTCAGTCGTAGGGCCAGGATTGGTCTCGACATCACCGCAAACAAGTAATTTGCATGCATAGAAACAATCATACGCAATGTCAATACAAGTTTGTGGGCATGGCACAACAATGAGCATGAGAGTATTGCTCGCAAAAAGAGAGGTTTTGTGACCAACCTGTATAAAAAAGAGCGTTGTCTTAGTTGACATCGTGCTCTTGTCGCTTTCGCCGAGCCCACTGAAGATGAATTCCTGGGTTAGTCCTTTTGTAGGCGTTGAAGCACTTGACGTCACGAACCCAGAGGGCAGCACTTCTGCGACTGGCGATTGTAGAGACACTTGGTCATCGTTGGCGGCTTGCTTGTCGCTTCCACACGTGCTGTAGTCGATCGGTGCTCCAAGATAAGAACAGAGCAGGGCCTGTATAAAAAAGAGCGTTGTCTTAGTTGACATCGTGCTCTTGTCGCTTTCGCCGAGCCCACTCTACCTAAAGGTTGCTGGGGGTACGGCGAGGCTAGCGTTAGCTGTATTCTTAAAAGGCATCGTAAAATGGAAGCTGGTGTCGGGGACTGACGCCCCTTTTCCAAATGAAAATGCCTTGTTGGAATATTGTCACAGCCTTCATATGACAAGCCTTGGTCCGAGGTGACTATTGCTTGCAGCTTCCTTTTTCTTCCAAATCATTATTTTAGGTGTACGACCTTCGTTCGACCTCCTGGGAGGCCAGACTGAGCAGGTTATGTTGCCCACAGAGGGTAACTTTCGTTGAGGTGGGGTACGATTGTGGCCAAATGGTACGGAGTCGAAGGGGAAAAGGAAGGTTACTCTCGTCGACACTTCGCGTAAACCAGCCCTCGTAAACGAGGACCGTTGCCCGTTATAAGCACCGTAGACGTGAAGTGGTTTTATCTCGAGCACTACCGCGTAACCAAAGTAAAAACTAATTGTTTCATGTTCGCTTCAGTACTGGAGCAGAAAACTCTCCCCCAGTTTACTGGAAAGAGATATTGGGGCTTTGGGCACTCCCATCTCCATCCAGTGGGACTTCCGTTCTTGCAGGCTGCATTCTTGCGCAACGTGACGTGGTCCCTGTCCAACCTGTGCCGAAACAAGAACCCTCCGCCCCCGTTCGAGGCAATCCGAGAGTGCTTGCCAGCCCTTGCGCAGCTGATACACCACACGGGTGAGTGGCTGTTCCAGGGGCAGACTTCACTGTACGGAGCAGTTACGTGCCACTCGCTGGCAGCTTCGCCGTAAATCGGTCCTTTAACGGAAGGGCGTCGCACCAGTGCCGCATCAGCATTTGGCTCGAACTCGCGTCGTCGCCGCCAGTGCCACGGCCTCACCATGGAGCTGGTGTTGACCGAGCACACGCGCAGCGGGAGACCGCACTAGGTTAGGGTGAAGAGAACAAGCGCCCGGCTTTGAAGGAAGCCGGGAGACAAGAAATAGTGGGGCTAAAGTTGGGGTGTGTGTGTGTGTGTGGCTGCAAAAGACTGAAACTTTGCGTTCCACACCTGCCAGAGCACTAGCTTTAAAGGGGCTTTCTTTCGGGGAGGCTGCTGCGTGCAACGTCGCTGCAAAGGTATTGGAGAATGCATTGCCTTACCATTGCCTTTGTCACGGTAGTGTAGGAAAGAGGCATTTTGGTTTTTTCTCGGTTTAAAAAAAAACTCCTCTTAAACAACTTTTTTTTTTACCAGAGGAATGTGTTTTTATGAAGCATTCAAATTGCCATGCCTATCAGCTTTGTTCATTTATAAGCTGACAGTGCGATGGAAGTTAGATACTCTATGGACCTGTTGTACTTCTATCTTTCGCCATGTGAAAGATACACATACCCATACCCACGTGCAGAGAGCGTTGTCAAATGATGAAAGGGAGGTGGCTCGTTGGTCCGGTAAGTGTCTAGCTCCCACTGTGCAGTAGGGGTGAACATAGTATAGGTACAAAAAGTGCCCAGTCTGGTGCCTGCCAGTGTGTAGACGGGTCGTCCCGTGGGTGCGCCTTCCCCGCAGACAAGGAGGTGGTGGCGGACGCCTGCTGGGCCCTGTCGTACCTGACGGACGGCTCCAACGAGCAGATTGAGGAGGTGGTGCGGGCGGGGGTGGTGCCCCGTCTGGTGGAGCTGCTGGGCCTGGGGCCCGTGGCGGTGCTCACCCCCGCCCTCCGGGCCCTTGGCAACGTCGTGACCGGCAGCGACGCCCAGACCCAGGCCGTCATAGACGCTGGGGCCCTGCCCCACCTGCGCGCCCTCCTGCGACACTCCAAGGTCAACCTGCAGAAGGTGCGCGACTACTGGACGTTCTTCTCGAGGCCGCTTTCGACTTAATCGCGCAGCGGTGCCTGAATTGTCTCAGTCCGGTGTGTTTACTGCATTCAGGAAAGTGGCCCCTCCATTTCGCTTGATGGCGCTGAAGTGTTAGGCTGTTGCCGACTGCAACCCTCGCGGTGTGACGGTGGTGGCGGGGAATGTGGCACATAGATGGCCTGCTCTGCTGCAGGTTACTCTGCAGCTCGACAGTTCATGGAAGTTGATGGCGAGCCATTATGTGGTGGGGAGTTGAGGTTTCTGAAAGAGGACATGCTTCGCAAAAAAAAAAAACTAATATAGCTGAATGCAAATTTTAATTTATAGTGCTTCATCTTTCTTTTACTCAGTCTGGTGTAAAATCTTCAAGACTATTCTCGGTGTTGATTTTCTAGAAAGAGCTTGTTCCCACTGGTTTGGGGAATACAACACCAGCACTTTTTAGGGGTTGTTGCTGCCTGCATCCACGAGCAGCCTCTGGATCCAACGTGTTTATCTGTGCAGGAAGCGGCCTGGGCTGTCTCCAACATCACTGCCGGCAACGAGAACCAGATCCAGTCGGTGATAGACGCCGGCCTCATCGAGCCGGTCATAGAGGTGCTGGCCACGGTGAGTGTGGGGCCTTCGACTGCCTGCGGGACTGCGGTGTGGGGCTTGGAACACATCCGACTCGCTGGTTTGTTCATGGTCCCGCCCATTTATTGTAGCATCCTTTAAATTGCAACAAGATGTGTCGCCACAGCCACCGGGTAATTACGGTAGAGGTTGCGGTAAACTTGGTACAGTATAGACCACTTACAACGTAACCGCTTATAGTGCAGGACCGGGTATAACGCGGTTTTTTTAAACCACCGGTTCGCCTCCCATAGAACTTCATGTAATTACATACCGCTTAAAACGCAGGCGCGCGAAGGGAAATACCGGTTATAGTGCGGTTTCTGGCACAGCCCGCCGACGACCGGAGCAGCGAGCACGCTTCCCTGTGCGACACTAGATAACTGCGCTGACGGCGCGAGCCGCAAGCGTTGCGCAAGCGGCACTCGCGGGGCAAGGAGGTTGCTCGAAGAAGCGGGAGAAGCGAAGAGAGAGGTTTCAGTTGCCCTAGCGACGGAGGGACGCACGCACATGTCGTTCACGTGCGCGTCCCTCCGCCGCATCCCACTAGAGCGACAGACAGCGACAAACGACAGCGACACACGACAGACGACACCGACAGACAGCCTGTTTGTCGAAGTCCGCGGTCCCACTTGGCGGACACGACACAGAACACAGAGGCAAGGAAACTTGTTTCCTAGTGGGACTGGAGTTGTCAACAAAACACTTCGAAATACACAGACAAACTGAGTCTGGCGACGCGGTTTTCGTGTTTTGCTCTTTGGGCATAAAACGCGCCGACAAACACGGTGTAAGAGGAGACGATTACTTTATTTCTTGATTAAAGCATTCACTTGTCTTCATTTGCCGTTGGCGACCTTCCGCAAACAGTCGTGACAATCGACACCAAGCTTTTTCCAAGTTTGAATAACCGAATCGTTCCTTTTTTGAGTCGTTCGAGGAATTCTAGGTGAGCGCCACGGAACTTCACGCCGATTTCGAGGATGTTTATAACCTCGTATCCGAATGATCAAGGGCAGGCGTTTTTTTGGACGTGATGACAAGTCTCTCGTCTGCCGGAATGGCTTGCCGCGGAACGTGGTGTCCTACTTCGTGTTGAGAGGTCTTACTTTGGTTAGTCCTCGAACATGAGTGGGTATCCATCCTGATGCAGGGCCGTAGACCTCGGCGTCTTGAAGCACCACCTCACGCACCAAGTTTTCGCGAGCAAAACCAACCACAGCAAATTCCCCTTCGCAACCCGACCGCCCGGCGCAAGCAAGCAAGCCGCGCCCGCGACGAGCAATCGAGAGATCGGAACTGCGGGAACGAGGAGTGGCCGCCAAGGGCTTTTCTGAAGGTCTAGCCGTTATAGCGGCGAAGCGAGCCACGGGAGGAACGGGAGGAAGGGTAGAAGGGTGGGAAGGGAGGCAACGGAAGGCACAACCGGGCGAGGAGGATACGTTTGTCTCCGAGACATGTTCCTCAGTGGGACTGCTTGCTGCGTTTCAAGTCCAACGACAGACAAGGACTCGTCCGTCGTCGATCGTTTGTCGGCGCGTGTCGGCAATTGTCGCGGGCATTGGTCGTTGTAGTGGGACAGCATCGGCGACACGGAACTTTGTGGTGTCGTCGGACAAAAATCGGTGTTTGTCGCTCTAGTGGGACGAGAAACAGCCGCAACGACAGACCAATCGCAGGTCGAGGAGAAGTGTTCGCGCGCGTTGCATGCATGCCGGTCGCGGGCCGGCTGCTGGTTGTGATCAACGTTGCGATCGTCGTCGTAGACGGCGTTCATCTCATCGTTCCGCGTAAAAGCGCTATCCTTGACTGTAAATGTTCGTTGTGTGTCGCTATGATAACCCAGCACGTACTAGAAGGGAAGATCCACCTACTCGAGCGGCGATGTCGTGGCGGCGCTCTCAAGACGGCAGAAACGCCCGTGTCGTCGTGTTTGTTTACATCGACTACAGTTGTGATTTCTAAGCATTTGTGTCCTCGAACATCGCCCGGATTTCTTATTTGGCGCATTTCATGCGTGTGCTCAAGTTCAAGGTATTACTGGCGCGTACCGTATGAAGGATGCGAATTTTCACGCGTTTTCATCTCCGGAGAAAAGTGATTAGGGTTAGCAATCCTGAACGCTCGCAACGTCCGTCCGCAACCCGCGACGCCGCTAAAAGGCTGCGCCAGGCAAAAGCCGCTCATTTCTTTCAAAATGTGTGACACACTTGAGAGAGAAGTGTACTAGTCTGGTGTAATAAAGACTTTCCTCAAACTAAGGTTTATTTTTCATCTAACATAAAACAAATTCTTTTACACAGGTAAGTTGTCTTATGGCATGTATTTTGGCCTGAAAAATTGATGTTTCGGTTATAACGCGGTACCGCTTATAGTGCGGATTTTCGCGACTCCCGCGACATACGTTATATGCGGTCTACACTGTAGTTGGTTGTGAAAGTGACTGCAATCTATGCTCGTTTTTGCCTCAAGAACTGTAATGAAAAGAATTCGGCTACTCGCTGAGCATTACCAATTTCCCCGTTTATATAGAGTTCAGATAAGTAGGTTCATTTTAGATTAGATATACAAAGTGTTTCACGAAAAGTGGACAAATTCGATATTGCGAAAACTATGCGTCGCAACAAAAAAATACTTATGTAGTTTCGGTCCTGGGCCAGGGGCCTATTTAGGAAAATTATTAAAGTCCGGAATAATTAAGCTGTTAATTATTTTCACATAATTAACTTCTTTAATGTTGTGTTTAAGGGCATGGTGTCATTAGAAAATTGCTCAGCATCATCGAAAAACGCTAAATCAACAAATTGCAGAACGATAGTTCAAGCAAAGCATTTTACACCTTTCTGAAAAACCACGCAACTCCGACGGGTTTCTAAGTTTCGGTTTCCTATCGGAGCGCATCTCGGCCCCGAAGGCACTGCACCTCGTGGAGAAATATGCAACCAACCTCTGCTGCGCTGTCCTCACGCGACACAGCAGAGGCTGGTTGCACTATTTCTCCATGGGGCGTGGTGCCGTTGGGGCCGAGATGTGCTCCGATAGGAAACTGAAACTTGAGGCCCGCTTCAGACAAGGCAATTTCTCCCAGCATCTTGATGTTGCAGGGCCAGCAACACGGGCCACCCGCGTTCACGCGCAGCAACCGAATTGCTAAGACTTGCCATCATCATCATGAAAATTGATTTGTCTTGCACTATTTAGATGCACAGCTACGCACTAAAAGCATATTTTTATCTTTGAATGGCATTGAGAATGCTAACTCATATTTTTGAAGACAGGTTTACTTCCAAAATCAATCTTTTTCAAACCAAGACTAAGTCTTTAGCTGTCATCATCGCCACCACGGGGGTGTCACGGGAAAATATTGCATCCCCAATTAGCTGCTGCCGCTTCAAACGTCTCAGAGTTGTTAGAGTTGCTCGTCCGTTTCGAGCCGAACCCAATCTCAGCAATTCGTGTTGATCTAGGGAACAACCCACCAGCAACCTCAAAATTGAAGGAAAAGTTGCCCCGTCTGAAGCGGGCCTCAAAACCTATTGAATTTCCGCGGTTTGTAGGCGCGTCTTTGTTCGTCAAGTTGCATCTCAACTTTGCAGTGATGTGAGCTTCCCTCGCATGCTTTCTCCGAGTATTTATACCGGTACCCGATTTTGCACGCTGTAGTTTCTGCTGAAAATTCGCCTGATCCGCCACAGACTGTTCAGCATTTTTGCGCTTGATTGGGGTGACCGTGTGGATGAAGGGCCCGTCGAGACCGGAGGAAGGTTTGTCGGCAGCGCTTCTTTGTTCGTCAAGTTACGTCGGAAACTGGTGTAGGTGTGAGCTTCCCTCGTGATAGTTTCTGTGCTGCCACCGTTCCGCCTCACCGAAGTACTCCTCTGCTGGCTTTATTAAATGAAGAATGCCTACTGAAACTTCTCCTTCGAAGATGCATTTATTCGTCTGTCAAATGTGTTCATGCCAAGTCTCATAGTTTTCGGTCAGTTGCGTGGCAAATTGGGTAAGCAATTTTTCCCTCGTCCCACCATTGTCGCAAGTTGAGACTTCGTGGGACAAAATTACATTCGTGCCCTGCCATCATTGTTTCAGTTCCCACGACACTAAGTAGAAACTTCTGAGGTTCGTGCAAAATAGTCAAGGTATTTCTGTTGTCTTGTGACGATGTTATTCCGCTCGATTGGCACTAGGCCTCATGTCTGGAACCGAGGGACGTTGCTGATGTCGCCACGTCACGGAGCAGACGACGCGCTATTATCTAGACAGTGGAGGCACTTGTAGCAATGGATTACACCCGCAGCCGCGAAGTACATCTGCCGCGTATCCCCTCCTTCCTTTTCCCGTGTTCTGAATATGTTCATGTTTTCCAAAATGGCCGTCCAAACCGAAATCTAAGATTCTGCTCCGTATTCGTGCGCCAGAATGTATATTTTACGCGTTCCGGTACACGAATCCGGAATGCATGTCGGTCTAGACCGCGCTTAGACTGTCGACTGCAAATCTTTCTTCACTTCATAGTACCGTAAAATCCTGTAAGAATGCCCGCCCTAAGTAAAGATAAATGGTGAAAAATAGAGGACACCGAAAATTGGCAATCCACAGTGCGGTAGAGCGCCCAGATTGTGGACAAAAAAGGCAGAATCCAGCTGCGAGCTCGCATGTCACGAGAAAGGGTATTGCAGATCCGCATTTCACGGCTCGATAAGCACGGGAGAACCCGCTACGAACTCGCTTGTCACACATGCCAGTACCGCAGAACGTGTGGTTGATGCAATTCTTGTCTGACATCACGTGATGTACCACAGAAATCGAAACGGATAGGAAATGTTCTGGAATTTTTATGTTATGGATATTCGGCAAAAAAAAAAAAAAAAACTGAATAAGCAATCTCTCGAGGGAGGGCGTTGATGCTGGATTTACAGTATTGAGATGTGCCGGTGGATGTCAGTACGTTTTTACTGGTCAAGGTTCCTTTTGCCTTCCTGTGTTGGCGAAGTCCCAAGCAGCGTGTGTGTGCAGGGGGACCACAAGAGCCAGAAGGAGGCGGTCTGGGCCATCACGAACCTGACGTCTGGTGGCTCCCTGGAGCAGATAGTGTACGCCGTCCAGGCCGGGGTCCTGCCTCCCGTCTGCCAGATGCTCGCCGTGCCGGAGGCAAAGACCCTCCTCGTGGCCCTGGATGCCATCCGCAACATCCTGGCCGTGAGTGGCACCCTTCCGGCAGCATTTCCTTCTCAACTTTGCCGAGTGGCGTCTAGTCAAAAATGCTTTACTGGATTTCTGGCATTCGCTGGAGGAAGGTAGTGGAGCATAAATCTGCACCATACTTTGTTTTAAAAAAAAAAGTGGTCTTCTAAATAGGCTGTCTAGCGACCGGGAAAACCGGGATTGTCAGGGATATTGTCAAAAAGCAAGCCCAGTCAGGGGAAAATGGGCCGAAAATGCCATCAAGTGCCCTGAGCAAAGACTTGAGGACTTGGGGGTAGAAAAATAGGCAATCAATTCTGCTTGAGCGGAGCGCGGGCTTTGCTCACCCGATGTAGTCTGCTACCTGAAGCAAAGGGAACCGCGGACGAATCCAGTCCAAGCCTTGGATTGCACTGAGGGCACAACACTAGACGAGATCCAGTTACAGCTACTAGACTTAGTTACAAATGGGAAAGCCGCAGACCCTAATCCAATCCAAACATTAAGCCGAAAGTATCCGAAAGTGTGCATCTGGCGGCCATGCGCCATGCTGCCATTTGGTTATTCACAGGTGTGGTTGAGCCTAGTGTTTTCATTGTGTTTCCGGAAGTGGCCTCTTCACTGTGTCGAATAATACAATAGTAACACAGAAACAAAAGAAACAAACTGGTCTGCGTCGTACATTGCTTGGCGGTGACGTGCCCCCAATGTACTACTGTTTCACCTTTTGATGGATTGCAGTAAATGCTACTTGCCTCCCAGCAAATCTAGCGCTTCACATATATCGCACGACTATGCACACCGCGCATCGCTGCACCCTTTCTGAAGGTCGGGGCACTCGCACACGGTTGCATTGACTTGGTTCGTGGCGTGCTCTGCGGTTCATTGCAACGTGAAATGGTGTGGTCGTGCCCATACAGAAAGAGTGGGTAGGATCAATCTGACGGATGCCCTTTATCTTCTATCTCCTGCGAGTTGTTTGCGGTGTTTTACTGTACACAAGGGCATCGCTCTGGACAATGCCCCCTTTGTGTCGGCTCTCATGGGAAGAAATTCGAAGACAATGCCCATGCCTGTGTGTCTTGCCACACTATATCAAACTGTAGAGATAGTGTGTTCTGACAAGATAATGTATCATCGGGGGTGTCCACCAATACTGAATGCCTCCTTGGGGGCCATGACCTTGTGTATTCAAGAGGAAGCAATGCAGCACTATGAAAAGATAGCATTGGCATTATTCATTAGGACAATTTTTAGATTGTGTATAAAGTTCAGTTCTATATCAAATACTATATATAAATATAGTCACTCTGACGACTAATACACCTATAGCTAAATTACCCTAGTATCAAGGAGAATGCTGGTGATGTAGGTCTGTGTGCCGCACGTGCTTGCCTTCCTTGTATAAAAGTAAAAAAACAAAAGGCATTGACGAACGTGTGTGCAAGATGGCATTCTTTTTAGGCTTTTGCGTTGGAACAGTTACTATTGGAGTTACTAGCACGTGCGGCGCGTAGACCAACATTACCTGCGTTCTCCTTGATGCTTGGGTAATTTAGCAATAGGTCTATCGTAGGCATTTTGGATAAGGGAGCTGGGTCAATAGAATGTCTCCATTTTGGTGTTACTTGCTCTCCCCAATGATTAGATGGAGTCTGTAAAAACTGCTGTTCACATGCTGAACCTACCATGCTGATTCGATACGGACCCATGAGGGGAGCGAGCAAGCCAGAGGCTGCACACGGCGTTTATGGCACCAGAAGGATTGCCGAACCGGACAGTATTGGAAAAGCGTAGGAAAGTTGCGGAGTTATCTGATGTACGACTATCTCTGAAGCTCATAATTTTTCCGTGCGCTTCCTTTGGCTATCTGTCCAATGTAACTGCTGCATTTCGCAACCGTTTGGAAAGTTGTGTCTAACGCAAGTGTATACTTGTCAGCATTAAAGGCGGTTCAGTTTCGGACATTGCGACTGTATGCCTCAGATAGTCCTGGCATATTGACGTGCAGTTGCGAGACAGCCTGCAGGGCCGATTTCCAGGATGGGTGTTGACGTCGCTTTTGGTTTTGGTGCTTGTTTGTCTCCCCAGGCTGGGGACAAGCTGGGTGAGCGTGAGAAGATCTGCCTGATGGTGGAGGAGGTTGGGGGCCTGGACAAGATTGAGGCCCTCCAGACGCACGAGAACAGCGAGGTCTACAGGGTCTCCCTGGGCATCATTGAGGAGTACTTTGGCGACGTGAGTAACTACCGGTCTCGGGCCCTTGCCTGCTGGGACAACACCCTTTCTCGAACAGCGAGGCACATCGTAGTTGCTTCTGCTCACACCGCCGTAACTTGTTGGGTCGTGCGAGATCTCTGCCAAAAAATATGGGATGATGGTGCAGGAGAGCTTCGTTGTTAGATTAGGAATAAAGAAAAAGCATTGCCAAAAGACGGCTTGTTGGCAGTGGCTGCACTTTGTTGGGCCACTTTCCTTCTTGATATGTTTAACAAATGATGAGGCAGAGATGAGACCTTTCCATACAGAAATGCTGCTTGTGTGGTGGCACTACGCATCGTATATGTTCCGGTTCTCTAAATCTTGCTGCACCCTTAGCGTAAATCCCGACGATTGGTTCGCCGCATGCTCCTCGAAAAAGTGGGCTCGCAAGGTTTCTTCAGTACTGGCGTGGCTGCCAACAGCACAGTATTGCCGCGCTGCTTGCCTTAATTTTTGCGGGCATACCGCCACGGTTGCCGAGTGCCAGTACCGTGCTTTAGATTTGTTTCTGATAGATCCCCATCTCTGTGAGAAAACTATGTCGATACTGAAACTAGCATTTATTTAGCTGCCCCAAGGTGCCTGCCATGTTCCAGCACGTCAGATGACGAATGTTCGCGGTGCGCGAAACCATAGATCATGTATGATCGATGTCCTGCATGCAATGCATGTATGTCAAAGAATGTGCGCTGTACAGTACAGTACCTGCCACATGAAAACCAGTGGGTGGGATTTGAACCCTTGTCATCGCGCAGATGCGTTGTGCTCAAGAATGCCGTGGCTGCTTCTTTTCTTCAGGGCGAGGACGAAGACTATGGCCTGGTCCCAGAGTCTGCAGGGGACGGCTTCACTTTTTCGGCTCCGGCTCCCGACCAAGGCTTCTCCTTTTGAGCCCGGCCTTGGGGACTCCCCTCGTTTGAAATGCATGTTGTGTGTATGTATTGCGGAAGAACTGGCACACCAGTCGGATCCTTGTAAAGTTTGTACAGATTTGTTTATATGCCGCCTTCCCCGTAACTCAAGTGGAAAACAAAAATAGGATTGTGTTTGTTCCTTTGCTTGCTCGCTTGTACATTCTGAATGGAAGGTGTCCCTGCCCTTCTGGTCCCTTTGTCTCCACTTATTTTCTATTTTTGTACTTTTAAATAAAGGTCTTGAGTGTTTCGGGTGCATTGACTCTGTCTGAATCCTCTGGCAGGTGGACCTCAAAGCGTGTAATATAATCTTTCTTTCAAGAATAAAATACCCGATGCATGTCTCCCTCCATAGGGTCTTGAACATAAAGATCTGTGGTGAACCCTATTTTTCCCCCAGGTAGGTACTTGAGAAAAGAACGGAGAATTTGTGCAGAGATTTGTGGATACATCTACTGGTTGTGTGATGCAGACAAGTGTGGAGGTGCCAAATTTCCGGGCTGTCTATGCTGTTAAGTGGTGCCCTGATGGGGTAGAGGAAGGGGGAAATGGGGGTTCAACCCCCCCCCCCCCACGAGTTTTTTTTTTGTTTTGCACTTCTGCCTGACGAGTTCGAGACCTTTCCTAAGTTCAGTCTTGTCGCTTCACTCTATCATCAATGGAGCGTAGGACATTTATGGCTATAGTCGGTGACGGTTCAAGAACGAAGTGGAAACTCCTTTCGCCTCTATTTACTCCAACAGAGCGAAAGCTGGTGAGAAGGCAACATCCTCTCCAGCGTTCGCTCTGCTGAAATGGAAAGAGATGGGAGAGCTACTTCTCGACCTGTCATTAACTATAGTTAGCATACATCCATAGTACTTTTTTTTTTTTTGGTTTTGGAACAGCTGGTCCCAAGTGCAAGGTACAAAAACATGATCCCATGTTTGCAGTGAAGTACAGCAGGCCGAACTCGTTAAATAAAAATGTAAGGTGCCGCAAAACAAAAGTTTGAATTGAGCAAAATTTACTTGGATATCCTTTTCAATTTGGCAGAAATGTGGTAGTGACTCAAAAATCGTGTTTACACGCGATCAAAGTATACAAATTGTAGATTTTTGTTTCTATGCTCCTTTACTAAGTGAACCAATCATCCCATGCTCTTACTAAACAAATGCACCAATACTTCTGTACCTATTGTGGGATTTCACAATTAACCCCTGGTCCTCATTGTGGTAAATTACCACTCCGTAGTCCGCTCTTTGCGCGGCTACGCCGGGTCCTTCCATTGACTGCGTTTTTGGGCGCCGGTGGACGAGAGACAACGCCAACACAATAAGTCCGTTTTCCACGTGTTTAACTAAAATGCCAACCCCGCGCTTTGCTCTTGAACAGGAAAAGTCTGGGCGCTGGCTCAATTGCCAGTATCACCCGGTCGGTTTCCCGCGCTGCCGGAGTAGACAGATTCACGAGAAGTCTGAGACCCACAAAGAAAAACCGAGCTCCGTAGAGCCAGGGCCTCCGCCAATAAGAGCCCCCAGTCCTGAGTCAGAGTTTTGAAAGCAAGGAAATCAAAGGAAGTGTTGCTGAGCCGGAGGCTCAATATGTCACCTTTGGGGCCGGCCTATGTAGCCTTGGAGATATGGACGCGCCCGGGGAGGCCGGTAGTAGTCGCGTCCACTATCACTTTCCCTATGTGGGCGAGGGAGAGCCGTCCCCTTCGGGTGACGACAGCTCCCACGGCCTCCTCGAAGCTAGACCTAGATAGGGATATAGGGTACCCCATGGTTCCCACACTATATTACACGGAAATTTGTTTGAAAAGTCGATTTGGTGTTCCATTTAAGAGTGGCCGCCTTCAGATTCTCCTTGTGTATTTTATCTGCCTCATTTAATGGACAAAAATTTGAGAACTGCTAATCTGGAAGAAGTGAGTGAGGTTTTTCAAATGTTATTTTAATAAGGGTTGCCGGGACAAATAAGTGGGTGCGGTGAAAGTGTCCAATATTTTCTCTTATTTAATAATTTCAGAACATTGTTTAGATAGTTCTTACTCGATAAGGAGTCTTAAAAGTTCTAGATTTCGAACATATGAAAAAAGTCGGCTCTCATCTCTCTTTACTGTAGTCGGGAGTTATCTCATATTGAAAGCCGAAGGTTGAGGCCCGGAGGCTACAAAGGGGACGCTCCACTGGAAATGGAGAGGTCCCGCGGGTTCGATACCCCGACCAAGCTGATTTTTTCCGTTGCTCACCAGTCACCTAGCTGTGTTTGGAGATTTGTGTTTGTCCTTTGTCCCCTTTGTTCCCCTTCTCCATTGATTATTTTCGACAAGAGGTCTTCTGTTTGCCCGCTCTTTGTATGTTTTAGAAATGTTTTACTGTAACCAGCTCGCCAGCCTTATTACATTATCCCCCCCCCCCCTCCCCCCCCCCCCCCCGGGCGGAAGGGGCAGTGGTCCATTGAAGTTGCGCAAATCGGGGGCGGATTCGTACGTGACGTGGCAGCCTCTGGATTCGCTGAGATTTGGACGGATCTCTGTCAACAAGCCCAGAGTTACTGCATGTACAGTGTGTCAGAAAAGAAACTTTACACGGTCTTTTCTACCGCAAATATAAACTAGGCATCGCCGAACGCTCATTCTCCGCCCAAAGGTACCGCTAGAGGTCACAACCAGATGCCAAAGTTTCAGCGCGATCCGATAACTTAATCAAAAGTTATAAGCGATTTTCTGAAAATTTCAATAGGAAAATGGCGGCCGACGGAGTTTTCGAACACATGGGGCTCTAGGCACCAGACACCGAAAACGGGCAAAAATGAGCTTCATTTCCCCATTGAAATTTTCAGAAAATCACTTATAACTTTTGATTAAGATATCGGATCGGGCTGAAACTTTGGCATCTGGTTCTGACCTTTAGCTCTATCTTTGGGCGGAGAATGAGCGTTCGGCGATGCCCCGTTTATTTTTGCGGTAAAAAATACCGTGTAAATTTTCTTTTGTGACACCCTGTAGATATTGTTGGCCTTCTTCTCTCCATCTCGGTCTTCTTTCTTATCGCTATCTCGTTCTCTTCTTCCCTCTCTGTATGTCTCTCTCCCTTTCTTTCTCTTTCTTATATTTTCGCATTCTCTCTCGATCGTTCCCTCAGGCCCATCGAAACACTAAAATTTGTAGTGCACCGATAACGTTCAATTGCTGCAACTTTTTTTTTTTGTTTTTTTGTTTTGTTTTGAGTGCTGCTGCGTAAATTTGAGGGTATCTACAGTAACACCTAAAGCCGCCTGAAGCGAAAGTCAAATACGGTGCTTACCAGCTCCTCAAAAAAGAGTCAAGATTTGGGCACCGAAATGTGCAAAACATTTCGGTGCCCCAATCTCGACTCTTCCGGCATTCGCGAACCGGTGATTCAGCAGACGCTATCGTCTTCATTAGAATCATCTTATCAATCTGTTAATGCCGAGCCTTTTCCAATCCCTGCAGGAGCCACTGATCCGAATGACCTCGGGATCTACGACTGCAGGTCGGACTATTTCGTGATCGTTACCCTGCCGTTGCTCAAACTTGTGTGCTAAATTCATCAGATTAGATTACAATTTATAATTATTGAAGAGTAATGTTTTTATTGTTTTGTCATCCTTCCCTTTGGGTGTTAAGGTCGATGATTTTATTAATTTTCAAATAATTACATTACTGAAAGTTTTTTTTTTTTTTGTTTGTTTCCAAGGCATTTTTGCCATTAGATAACCGAGTTTTCTTCTCATACACGATGGCCATGGGAGGCGCAGCCATGCGGCAATACAGTATACCGGGGGGACACCTGGTTGGCTCTGACAGCACCCGTTGGGTCGCAGACTCGCAGGTGCCGTGGCTTTTGTCGTCTGCGAAGTTACGGGGAACCGAGTATGCGGTAAACACCTTTGTTTTCATGACGACCTACGTTTCGCGAAATCCGCGATTTGAAAATAACCAAAGCAAGTTGTGAAGCGAATAATTCATCCCATCAGGCGTAGACTACGGGTGCAGTACTACGGGGGAAGGGGGGGGGGGGGGGGGGGTGAGGGGCATCTGGGCTCATGCCCCCCCTGGTGACATCCGGCCGGGGCTCTAGAGTCTCTCCCCCCCCCCGGGAAAATGGAAACTCTACGCCGCTGCATCCCATGGTAACGACTCAAACACGAACCATAAAAATTGGTGACGGCGAAGTAATTCCGAAACTGACTGATTTCCGGGTTGCAGGTGCAGCACCGCAATCTCAACACAGCACGTGGAAATTCGTTTAATCGCAAGCTATAGATCACAAATAAATAATAGAAATTTGCGTAGCTTCCCTAACTATCAAGTTTTCCACGATAGTGACACGACGCTGCGGTCGGACAGGCGCATAATGACCGACGTGTTCCCCTGTCTTCAACACCATCTCATTTCAAGGTTTCCAACACCCCCCCCCCCCCCCCCCCCCTTTTTTTTTTGCATTGACGCCGCTTCTTTTTAGCAGTCTGCGGCGGCTCATTACAAAAATGTTTATGCACCTGGCCCACCCATTCTTTGAATGAGAAGTCAGCGTTCGCTAAAATGTCGTTCGACCAACTGATTGCCCACCCGGTATTTTTGGGAACCTGTATATTACCCGTATTTCAACGTACACGATTCATCCACACAAGATCATGTTCTCTCTGATGACGTTTTCCCGCCATACGCTCATCGATTTTCTGGATGGTGGTTTCAAACCTTTGTTGAAAGTTAAATAAAACGAACCACAGACGTTACATTCCAGTCATAATTGACTTACCTACCAGGAACCTCATTTGCCTCATTTTTAATGAAGTGACGTGATTGCTGGCGCCAATTGCGCCAAACTGCACCAAGGGGCTAACCCTGCTACATCCTGCTACATTTTGCCAAAATATGAGTAATCTGCGCCAAGCATGCGCAAAAAAAAAAAAAAAAAATGGTCGTTTTTTAAAACCGAAACTAAACTGAGTACCATCATTGAGCATGCGTGGGTCATGTCTTATGTGTCGCCAGCGGCCGCCCGACACAAAGTACCCTGCATCAATTGTCCATCCGGTCTTGCACGGTTTTCCCGCCATCTCGCGTTCTCGTCGTGTTCTGGGTCTCGTCTCGCGTCCTTTTAAAAATATTTTCAACAATAGACGCGGTTGTGTGCGGACGCTCCGACACTAGCGTGCCGGGTACCGGCCATGCCGTCATGCTGTGAAACGAAACCTCGTTTTTGCGCGGCAGAAGTTACTTTGTGAGCTGAAGCACTCGCTCCTGAAAGCAACGGCCGTGGGAAAACTATATTTGGTCCCTGCCTTCCAGTCACTGTGGTCGCGCGACGTCGGGTATTGCCGTCCCCACATCGCTGCCTGCAGATATGGCGCTTTCTAAAATGAAACTAAGTACCGCCAGATGTTCATCAACATTCATTTTCTTGTTTTAATCAAACCTTACTAAAAAAAAAAAAAAAAAGTTCCTTTTTAACTTGGACTGTTGTGTCGAAGTATTGATAGGTTTCTCTCGGTGGGCTTTCTTTCGAGAGGTGCCCCGGTACGTGAAAAATCTGCCGCGAAACAAGGTTGGTGAAGAGAAGTGAGCTAAAGCAAAGAAGGCAATGTCTGCACGCTGAACCCGCACAGCACGCTTGTTTCTCTCAAGTTCAGTAGTTACACCAAACGCTATAAGAACATCTTGACCGTGGCTGGCGATGTCTTACATCGATGCGCTCAGGTTCTTTTTTGTGTGTGTTTACTTATACTACCTTTTTTGCGTGGTTTCGGTTTCGATGGAACAGCCGTTGTCTTCGGCCGTATTCCAAAATTTACTCGATCTTACTCCAGGGTAAGGGTTTTGTACCCTTGGCGTTCTAAAACCTACCCACGTCCAGCGTTTTTCAATATGTGCTGTCACGTGATACGATCCGCCGGAGTAACTCGGATCCATTGGGGTAAGATTTGGAACACAGCCTTCCTATCGCGCGACGAAGCGCGCGCAACTGCAAGCCTACCGAAGTGGCTCTCACGTGCATGCGAACATGATTGCACGACAGAGGAACAGAGGCACTAGCTGGGACGCTTGCAATGGATTGTATTACGTTTGCTTACTTTTGACGAAAATCTGGCACGTGAGAATTCAGTATAACGGTGGCAAGCGGTTTTTCGGAATTGCTCGGGAATGCCTATCACTGTACACTTGTGGGATGTCTCAGCAGTAAAAACACGAGCAGCGAGTTCCGTCACAACACGTCACATCAGAACACAACACAACACAAAGTGCCCTTCGTTTGTATAGCACTTAAAACTAATATTTTTATTATTCTAAGAATATCTGCTCTAATAGCCACTTTTACTGCTCCGAAACACTGTCTTGGCTGCTCCAAAAGCCACTTTTGCTGCTCCAAAACACTGTTTTGGCTGCTCCGAAAGGTGCTCCAAAATGGCTTAGGCCAATCATATCACTGTTAATGATAACACTGCTGAAGCCAACGACGTTGTGTCGTAACCCAGTCGTGCTATGCTTCTAATTTAATTATCCACGGTTCTGTTTGTCGCACATTATTAATTAGAAGACATCACTTCCCTAGTTAAGAATGCCTCATTCTTTATTGTACCGCAAAGATGTGGGTGTGAGCGTGCGTGATTGCGGTACATCGGTGTTGCACATTTTCTCGTACACGGAAGCATCAAGATGGCAGCGACACCACCAGCTAGTTCACGAATGCCAAGACGTGGCAGCAGTTCTTTCACAATGCCAGCTGTTGTGGACCGCTGGCGGCAACACAGGTTAGTCGGAGATGATTGCGGAGGCATCTGCGAACTATCCGGCGGACTACCCGGCCTGCCTGAGCGTCGGCGCAAGTTCACATGTGCCTGGTGTTGCCGAAGTTGATGCCGCTGGCGTTGGCGCCCCTGTTGGTGCCGTACTGCAGGTTGATGATTCCTTCCCCGGCCCTGAGCTGGAGCTCGGTGAACTCGCGCTTGTTGACCTCGGCCGGCTTGGGCCCCAGGCACGGACCTTCGTACTCCGGGTGCAGGTAACACTGCGACCAAGAGCCACAAAAACAGCTGTTCAAAAAAAAATTACGCAAGCTTGATCATGCTGACAAAGACCAGACGACATAAAATCTGTCCCGCACACACCACACGCATCTTTTATATATATATATATATATATATTATATTTATGTATATCCTTAATTTCCTGTGACTCAGCGTGTCGCTCGTTCATGACGCTCGTTCCAGACGGTCCTTTATGACAGTCCTTCATAACGTTTTTTTCTGACTGTTCTTTGTGACGGTCCTTCATGACGGTTCTTTCTGACTGTTCTTCATAACGTTTTTTTTCTGACGGTTCTTCATAACGTTTTTTTCTGACTGTTCTTTCTGATGGTTCTTCATGATGGTCCTTTCTGACGGTCCTTTATGACGGTCCTTCGTAACGTTTTTTTTTTCTAACCAGTCTTTCTGACGGTACTTACAGACGGTCCTTCATAACGTTTTTTTCTGACTGTCCTTTCTGACGGTCCTTCAAGACAATTTTATAACAGAAAACGACGAATAATAATAAAAACGGAAATTTTGCGTTAAAGGACACAATATGAGCTGCTAGCCAATTCGCTATGAGAGCCGCCGTTGACATAGGCTCACTGTGATCAGCGATCGAGTGACCCTACAAATTCAGTCAGCATCCATTACGTTCATCCATTAATAGTAAAAATGTTTTTGTAGACAGCATTGTTAGAGGGCACTGCAAAGAAGGACACGTCCTTATTGGTTATAGTGCTACTAGCGTGACAAATGCCAGCCTTTTGTTCGCCGACAAAAACAACAACCATCTCTTTGGCCACTCCCGCAATCTTTCCCAGCAACGCATAAATAACAGTGAAAAACAGATAAGCTATCGAATTTTCCATTTTATGTTAATTTTAGCAGATCGCTCCGGTACCTCCGATAACGATACCCGATCGTCCGCTTTTGCGCGTGCATCGAGTATGCCTCGGGTTTCCGTGTCTCCGGAGAACCGCAGCAAAGGAGGAAAACACGCATAAATATGTTTAGTTGTCTGCTCGAGACGCAATCGTAAAATGAAATAATTGCTCCTAGCTTCTGCAGAACAGAAAGCTGTGGCGGCAGGTTCGCTCGCAAGCGTTCTCGGGCGAATCAGATATCCAAAGCGCCTAGCGGTATAAAGACAAAGCCGTGAAAGTACGCGGAGAGCAAGTCGTCTACTTTTTGCGCAGGCGTTTCGGTGACGTCAGAAAGACGCCGAGCTCTGATTGGTTTTGATTGAAAGGATAGTGGGTAGACCTCAATGCGAGCTGCCTTGAGGTCTACCCACTATCCTTCATTCGAAACCAATTGGAGCTCGGCGTTTTGCAGACGTCACCATAACCCCCGCAAAAGAAGCAGACAAACTTGCGCTTCGGATTGGTTTGAAGACACGCGACGAAAATCACCGATAATGAGGCCTAGAACGAGGTCCTAAAGCCCGCGCCATAGTGCAAACAGGTAGTACAAAAGTAAGACAGTCTGACGACTCTGTCTACGGCAACTCACAGCGCGGCCCAGGGCGAGGATGCACTGGGAGACCTGGGGGATGTTCCTCTTCTCCCAGAGGTCGACCGTCTGGAAGACGTCGATCTCGGGCACGCCCCACTGCTTGGCCGCGTTCTGGAACATGACGATGTTCTCCATCTTCTTGAACTGGCCCCCCGTCGTGTTGATCTTCGGAATGATGCCCGGCTGCAGCGCGTTCATCACCCTGCCGAGGGAAAGGAAGGGCGACTCGTGTCTACGTGTGCCGTCCCCTTCTGGGGCCGCCTTCCTAGAAGACAAGGCCTTTCCCCCTTCCCCAAACTATGGTGCGTAGAGCGCATCTTCGACTGGTGTGTTAGCGTCCCATGCTGTCCATACATCCAAAGTGGTTCCGAAGGGGCAAAATATGACGTTACAGGAGCCGAAGTGCCACGCTGTTGCTTGTCGCGATCCTGGCGGTTGGTCGTAGAAATGCTAACGAGAAGGCTGCGAGTAGCACAACCAAAGGCGAGTGTCGCTGTCGTCGCGGTGTCCCAACTTCTGGCTGTTGAAGGTTCCGTGGACTGCCGCACTGGAGAGGGACCTGCAGCAGAACAGGCATCTGCCACATACATCACAGCTGTTGGAACGCCACCAGGATCGCGACCGCGGCGATAGCATGACACTTCTATGACGTCATCAGGCGGCAACACGGTAAACACACCAGTCGGAGACGCGTACCAGGCACCATACCCAAACGTAACCACTAGTGGATCCACGCAGCGTCGCCTATACCAGAGTCTTGCAGCATCTCACAAAAAGCGCGACGTTAGAGATCCACTAACGATGACGTCATGCGCGGAGGCCTTGTCTTTTAAGTGCTCAGGCACGAGCCAAGACGCTATGCCATGGTAGTACCCCTGAGGAGGCTTGAGCGAGTAACGAACCGCAATATGTAGAAGGCTGAAGTCAAGGATTGATCGAGCGGCTTAGGGCCACGGGGGAAGTTCGGACATTAGAAGGAGAAAAATCATGGCTGCAGCAGCACCACTCTTCCCCCGCGGTTACAGCGCCGACCAAGCGCAATCCTTACATTCGATTACGCGGTACCTGTTTTCTGTGCGCCGAACATTGGAGGAAGAGGAGGGGACGAGAGTGCGCAGGGATGTTCGAACGCCGAGCTCTAACTGGAATGATTGGTGGGTAGACCTAAAGCTATAGCTGCCTTTGTCTCTGCTCACTCTTCGAAGTTCGAACGAGTTCGGATGCGAAAGCCAGATGCCGGACGCCGGTGCCGCGTTCTAACGCGTTGGACGATTGCATTAGAGGCACATTTTGGGTCTTTCTACTAGCTTCGATTTGCCTGCACTGCCTGCACTGGTGCAGAAAAGTGTAGGGCAGTGCACCTATGTGATTAAGATACGATCGGAAGGACAGCGCCCTACACTTTTCTGCACCGGTGCTGGAGGTGCAGATAGGTGGAACGAAGCTAGTAATCACTCCAGCCAGAGCTCGGTGTTCCGACCACTGACCTCTATTGCAGTAGACTGTATCGCGGATCGAGGCTTTTCTTGCATGGGGTCGAGCGGCACCACCGGCAGCCATCGCTTGTCCCCAGCTGATGCATGCGACTCTATGGGAGATACGGGAAAAACTGCAATTTCTTACCTTACTTAAATATTTTATACTTTTGTGCGTTTCTCCTATAGACGCGTGTATTGCCTGGTGTCAAGCAATGGCTGCCGCCAGTGGTGCCAGCGACGGGCAGCCAATCTGCGATCCAGCCTACTACAATGGAGATCAGTGGTCTTGACGTCCTCGCACGCTCTCGTCCCCTCCCTCTCTCTCAGTTTCTTGCCGCATAGAAACAGAGCTGCGCCATGGAATAGGTCAGCTTTCTGTGGCAATGTAGTCAATGCTAGGGGAGAGGGTGCACCAACCGCTGTACACGCGCTTTCCTCCTCTCTTCGGATTGCCACAGAAAGCTACCCCTGAGGTTCTCATTTGATAAGAATTTGAGCTCGCTATCTTTTATCCGTTAATTTTTGCGGCTTATTTTATACCCAGCTTCGCTACTTCTTCCACCGTATATATTGATAGTGTAGAATTTTCGCGTGCATGTTCTCTATTTCTTTCTCTCTCTCGTGCAGCTTTCCTTCCCTTCCGTCCGCTCTTTCCCTGAACGGCCCTTTCTCTGACCAGGTAGCAAACTCTCTTTCGTTTTTCACTCGGAGGGAAACATTTCTGTCAAACAGTATGATGAAGTGAAATAGGCCATCTGCGACGCACAGTAATTCGACATAGCGTTCGTCATTTGCCTTTGTGGACGCGAAAGAGCGCGGGCACGCGTGTTCGCACTGTATCGCTGCAGTGCACTCGAGCTCAAACGGACGAGGAAATGAATCCTGCGAGGAGAGTCTAAAGCCGCAGGCACACAGCTTCGCACATCATACAAAAACACGCTGTTCGCTGGAGACATGATGACACAATTACCTGCGGACTCGCCTCACGTATATATATATATATATATACATATGTATGCTTCGAAAATGTCTGTAAACAGTTTGTGTAAGACCAACGTGACGTCATAGAAAGACGGTGTCTGCAGACTGTCTTTTGTATAATGTCTTAGCCTCGTGACCGCGGCTCGAATGCTTAAAACCCCTCCAGTAATGCTCACGAAGGATGTTCCCTCAGGCCGAGCAGGCGGCAGACGTCTGGTGGCTTTAAACGCTACATTTCGCAGGTGCGTAGACAGTATATGATATTTTCCTATCGCAGTCAGCCCAAAAGCGACGCCAGTCTGTCAACGCTGTGTGTGGGCCGTTTTGTGACTCACTTGCATAGCACGACGCCATCCCGCAAGACCTCCTCGTAGGGTCCCTGCGGCAGCCGAGCCTCGAGCACTTCCTCGATCCAGTCCAGGATCTGGGACTCCAGCTCCGGGTCGCGCTTGGACGCAATCTAAACAGAGAGTCAGAAATGGACACGTTACTGATGACGAACTACCAGCACTCGTCACTCGTTCAGAAAGTAACCAAGTACGGTACGCGTTACTGCGGTTCAAACGGAACGTGTTTACGTCAGCTTGAAAGTGGCGCGTCATTTTCTCGTTTCTCCGAATGTGTCGTTGTTATGTTGCAGTAGCCGCTACCTAATTTTTGTCGTCTATATGATTTCCTCGCTTTTAAATACGTTTATTCGGGGATAACAGTGACGCCACCGTGAGCATATTTTATTTTATTGTCTAATTCGTGATTTTTAGAGCGCAGCTCTTAGGCGCGTTTTCGGGTTTCGCGGCGTCGGCTTCGGCTTCGGCGTCGGCATCGCCGTCGGCGTAACCGCGCTAGCTTCAGTGGGAAAATTGACGTCACGGGACCTCAACACCAATTCAATTACCCGCTAAATTTAGCGGGGAAAATGACTACACGGCTTGGTGGCACGTTACCTACGAAAAAAATTCAGTTTCTCTGCTAGATTTAGCGGAAAAAGTGACCTCACGTGACCTCAACAGCAATTCAATTACCCGCTAAATTTAGCGGGAAATTGAATTGCTGTTGAGGTCACGTAGCGTCGATTTTTCAGCTAAATTTAGCAGGGAAACTGTAGGAGGAGGAATGGGTGTGGAAGAGGGGGAGGGGAGAGTCAACAAGGTGGTGTTGGCATACCCTCCCCTGCGTACCCTCTCCCCCTCCTCCTGGAGAGCTGCGCTCTAATTTCGCGTTACAGAGATTTTGCAAGCGCCTTTATTTTTGCCATGCAAATTACAGGCACGTGCTGGAGTGAGAACCAAGTTTGGTGCTTGTGTTGCACACGTTTTCCTCTAGAAGGATCTAAATACCGTTACTCGTTAGTTCATCCAAAAGTAACGAAAATATGATAATCGTTTGTTCTCTTGAAAAGGCACGAGATCGTCACTTGTTTCAGAAAAAGTAAGTTACGCGTTTCGTACAAGTCTGTAGAGAGTCGACAAGAGCGCAAGGCCTGGATCGATGCCCGTCTGATATGCGAGTGCACTCGAAGCACCGTTTACAGTGGCACTAAAGTGATTTTCAACGCGATAACGTTAAGGAGCTCGTGTCGCAGAAAAGCCGGCGTCGGTTGCGTTACAGGAAAATCCTGAATGGTCGATAGGGTCATGACGTCAAAGCCACATGACCTCGCACGAAAATTTCGAACGACGCTCACCTGAACGTGACGTCATGCGTGGAATAAAAGTGAATAAAACATGACGTGTAATGCGAATTAAAGGTCGCCGCCTGTCTCAAATGATTTCACCTCATAAAGTAGTTCGTTTGCCTTAAAGAAAAAAAAAAGAATTGAAGAATTTTAGGCGGGATACGAATCCAGGACATTTCGGTTGCGAGCCAGACAGGCTACTGACTAGGAAACGCAAGACACACTTGCACGGCGAATGAGAAGGCTTCGCGAACGGGGCCCGATAACGCAATCACTTTCCACTCTTAAAGGCGAAGCTTAAGCGTCCTCCAAGTTTTGAGGTAGAGTAGTCTTTTTAAGGTGAAGACTGAATCTATGTGGCACAAGCATCCTTTAGAAAACAATAAATAAATAAATAAAAAAAAAATGCGTGGCCTTTTTTCTTTATTAGAACGAGACCAACACCATGACAGGCTTCTATTTCCGGGATATATTCCAGAAAAGAGGCGTGCCGCTGTTAGGATCCGTAGATTGAGTTGTCATTATAAAAACAGGAACCCAATCGCCCCTTTCACAAGGCCACTCGAGCTAACTGTGGAGATTCTGCTGTCATTTACCAATCACATCGTGTCTCGTGCTTTTATCTCCCATAGGAGGCAATGTTTCCTGACGTTCGGGAAAACTCCCGATACAGCGAAAGAGGCTGACGACAGAATTGGGGCCTGATAACTGCACTTAACTGTATCCGACCCCTAAGTGCAAAACAAAGCAAAACAAGAAAAATCTCGGAAACACACTTAAAACTGCCTACGTGTAGGAATACGAAAGAATTCCTACACGCAGCGCATTCCTACAAGCAGCGCACCACGTCTTTCTTTTCCGCACGGGTCTCCGGCGGTGACATTCCTCTCCCCCACGGCGCAGGCGCGGCGCTATCCGCCGGCTCCACGGCTTCCGTGCGATGCATCTGCGTTGCTCTGCTTTTCTTTGTGTTTTATTTGTGAGGCGCGTCCGCTTTGACCTTGAGCGGCCCCGCCGACTTCCGTGACGAAGTATCTGATATGACGCGTCGCAGCCAATGGGAATTTATTGCTCGTTTCGATGCTACAGACAACGCCGGCTTCGCTCCATGGGACAAATAATGCTTTCGCGCATTAAAATCAAGAGACGGAAAAAGGGGAGAGGGTTGTGCGGTCTTAGTCAACGTGCAAGCTCCGGGTGTTTTTCTTGGCGCGGAAGCACACTTACTGCTGCTGATAAGCAGAACATCCGGAAGCGTGTTCAAAAACGCAAATATAACAAGTTTGAAAAAAACAAACAAACAAAACAACAACAACAACAACAAAACAAAAACAAGGAGAGAGAGAGAGAGAGAGATGCGCTGTCATTGTTGAGAGTGTCTAACTTCTTTCTTTTTGTTTTTGCTTTTTCTCTCTTTTCTTTCTGACTTCGGAGATTGGCAGCCACGTCGAATTTCAGGTGTTTACTTGGAGTAACTGCGGCGCGAAGCGGCTCAGAAAACCCCATGGTTATCGCCTTACGTTTTTTTGTTCCGCTTAGAAGACGCATCACAAAGGAGCGAAGAGCCCTAATTATTATAACAATACGCGATTCTAGGGTTCTCAGTTTCAAAGATACATCCGAGAACCTCATTTCCGAGAACAATATTATTATAGGTGGGAACCAAACGCAAGAGTGAATGTGTCTTAAGCCTGGTTCAGACCGTTGCGTTTGACTGCGTTTGACTGCGTTGCGGCTGCGAGAAGCCAGGACATCCCTACTGCTTACATCGCATGCCAAGATGAATTCCTTGAATTGGAGTCCACGCTTCATACGAAGCACAGATGTGCCGGTCACTCGCTTTCGGTTCTCGACGCGACGCAGTCAAACGCACTCAAACTCAAGTGTCTGAACCGGCCTTTATGCATAGTACGCTGTCGAAATAAATCGACGCAGTCTTTGTGAAACAAGAGCCGATTTAATACGCCCAATTGTGCGAAAGAATAATATATTAAGATAAAAGAATCTCACGCACAACGTGCATGGATGTATGACGCGTGAACCCCCAAAAATAACGGGTATTTTTTTATTATTTTTTTTTTACAGTTTCGTTGCGCGCTTTTATGCAGAGGGCTGTAAAAGCAAGCGTTACTTCTTGTGCAGTGGGGATCGGTGGCCGAGTGGTCTAGCGCACAACAGCTCGGAGCACGTGGAGCGAGAGCTCACGTTGCAGAACCCAGGGATCCTGGGTGCAATCCACAGCCCTGCCCGTTTCGGTCTGGATAAGCATCGTACGGGCGTCGGTCGTGTATCCCTACTGCGTGGTGCACGTTAAAGACCTCAGGCTAGCGGTTGTACTGCACTCGCGAAATTGCTCATCTACAGCTGGGAGGATCGTCGCCCTTTGAGGCAGACTATAAGTTCTAGGTTGTATAAATAAACACACAAGCCAATTTTTACTTCTTGTCCACTGGCTCACTGGAAAGCTTTCACGAGCCGAAAGTTCTCCTCGCCTTTGGAACGTCAACATTGGTACATACACTGTTGTCTTTCCTGCAGAACACAGAAGTAGCCATGCGAATAAAGGCCTATTCACACATGTAGCGAACTGCACTCCGTCGAAGCCCCGAGCTTGTCCCAGCACAAAAAACCTTGTCTTGCTCAGAGCGGAGGTATCTCGTTGCGACAGAAGACTCAATCCGCGCTACCTCGTGCTATTCCAAGTGGTAGGGAGGAAATCTCAGCGCCGAGAGGAGCAAATACAGCGCTAAATTAATTCAGCGCTGCGCTGCAGGTGTAAACCGGCCTTAAAAATGCGACGTGCGCAGAGACCGTGAGCAACTAAAATGCAGAGCACATTGCTCTTGCATGTGGCGCATTAAAAGGACGTACGGCAACGAAATTTTAGCTTTTAGTTATTTGTTTAGCCAGGAAGTACGCTGCTTCAGCATTTTAGAAACACCAGTCTTCCGCTCGTAAACGCACGAAAACTAGTTCTATTACGAATAAAACGATTTCTCAATACCACCTGGTAGCTGGGAGGCCGATGTAGTTATGACGCATGCCCCAGCATGCGCAGTGAATAGGTAGTGACTATTTTGACGTCCACTTTCAAAATAATTTTGAATATTATTTCGATGTACGTGCCGCCACTTCCTGAAGACGTGAACATATTTTTAAAAAACATTTTAACTACCCCCGTCAAAATATTTTTAGTTTTTATTTTGACGTCTCAAACTTGGAACTTTGGAGCCGGGACTAGGGAGCGACCAGAAGTTTTGGTAAAAAAAAATTAAAAAAATAGAATCTTGTTTGCAGGCAGCGTCGCGGTTCCACATGCACGTTCCGAAATCAAATGTCATGCAGTCGACTGTTGTTTTTATAACATTATAACTAATGTAAAATGAAAAAAAAAATATTTAAAGCGCATTTTAACTATCAGGCCGCACGTTACGTTTACTTGGTTGTGCCACTCATTACAGAATGCGACAGCGATGCTTTTCATGATTTGTTTCACGTGATTTATATAGACAAAGGAGCTGAATGCCGTGCCATACAAGTTGCAGTTGATTGGAAAATGCCTGTATCTCAAACCGGGCCATGGAGGGGTCCCAATCATTTCGTCGAAACACTCGTTTTGTGAAATTACGTTTCGTAGACAACTTTTCATAGACATAGGTTTCACCTACACGATCGTTTCATCGGCGCTCGTTACGCGAATTCCACGCTGTAGGGCATTTCGTCAAGCGTGTATCACTTCCCACGAAAACGGGACATAATACTTCCTTGAGACAGAATGACGGGAC